GAATATATAACACTTCATTTGTGCTAATAATACTCAAAATTCATGCTTTATCGGTAACGTCGGATAATGACACTAAAATGGTAAGGGGGTTTCTGACGCCCTCGAAGTATGGGACAGAAAATTATATTGCATATTAGGTCTATTCTTATATCTCGTCTGTACCGTCGCTATCACCTCATTGCTGCCGATGGTAATGTTGCAGCATATGGTAAGTGATGCGTGTGGGCTGTGAGCCAGGATGCTCCCCCGGTATACATCTTATTATTTCTGCAGCTGTGAATAATAGTGACACAACGAGATCTGTGTTGTAAGTGTATGTTATACGGTGTATTAAAGGGATAGCGGTAGGAAAAGGAAAGGATAGAGAAAAGATTCATGGGGGTGTGGCCATTCATCCCTTCGGCACGTTTCCAATACCTTAGGATTGCACCCCCACAGAGCCACTCACGTCGTCAGCAATCCTCCACGTATCCCCCCAAATAAAAGATTTCTCTTTTTCAGGTTTCAGTGCAGAGGATTCCCAGGGGCACCACGAGAAGGTGACGCGAGAGGACTTGACTGGATCAGGCCCTCCAGGGTCACCAAGGGCAGCCGCCAATGACTCACCCAGGTAGGGACCCAGGTAAATATCGCATGGTTTGCTGCCGTGGTATCACCTTTCGGTTTTTGAGTTCCATGGGGATCGCAGAACAAATCCATCACCAGCCTTCGCCGGTCCCTGGAAAACAGGGACCGTCCTGTACCGCAGGTAAGTTCCAGCAGCCAGGAAAGTGACAAATGATGAAATAACCAGATGCCGAATTCAAGGCGGCTGGAGCCCAAGGCCAGAGGACCCCTAGATCTGCCGCCTTAGTTTAGTTTAGTTTAGTACGTGGTCTCCCAGCGGAGGGGAAGTGCGATTTCCCCTCCATGGCCCAACTGTGACTCAGCGTCTACAGCTATCTCGTAGTCCCGCAATGGGACTACGGTGGGCGTTACCCGGGGACATTGTTTCCCCCGACTTTCCACCGTCCCAACTTTTATAGGCCTGGGCCACATGGAGGTGGGGAAGTACTCGTACTGGAGACGGAGAATCACTAAGATCGTCCCATCCCTACCTAATACAGTAGCTAGAGGAGTATCTACGTCGGGGCAACCCATTCTTTATCTCCTGAAGTGAGTACCACCTCACTCTTTGCTTCATCCACAGACCAAGTCTGTACAAGTGTGATTTCATGGTATGTACCGTCATCATTGAGAGAGAGTTTTATCGCCTATTTCAACCCCCTAATGTTACCTGCCTATGTCCCGAATATTTCAGAACCTCCCCTCCTCTGTTTACCCTCGTTCAATTACCACCCCCCATCCTGAAAGTCAAGGAGGGAACGCCGTCGTTCCAAACAGATAGATGCAGGTGACATGCTAGCCAATCTCTAGAAGAAACTTGATCGCGTTCGCACTACGTATCATCTTCCGGGATATACGGGGATTCCTATTGGAAATCCTCGTAGGGATTTTGAGTTTAATCTAATTAAAGCTGGGTTGTGATTTTAATTCACTGAAAACGATTAAGAGTAGATCGCGTTTTGCCCCTCTCCCTAGTGATTTCCAAGGAACGCGACGCAAAATGATAGCCGACCGGACTTTACCGAAATTTCTCCTTGGAGTAAATATCAGCTACATGAGGGACTATCACCGCGCTCTGGGTCTGTTATCGCACCCTTCCCTAAGGTTGATGCTCTCTCTCTCCAAAGATTGTGGTCCAGGATCATGGTGTTTACCGGCACGTACCCGTTAGGGCGAGGCCTGTTTCATTAGTGCCTTATCTATCCTGCTCATTACTCCGTACCTACGAAAAAATGCAAGGAACGCGAAGCAAACGATGACCCACCGGACTTCGCCGAAATTTGCCTCGAGAAGGTGAATATTAGTTTCATCAGAGACCACCACCGTGTTCTGGGTTACTCATTAAACGCACCCTCAGTCTAGGATTGATGCCCTCTCTCTCAGAAGTAGGACGATACGTTATAGCGTCTGCCAAGCGCTCTATGACCCGTCGCTAATGTGGTCCGGGGCCATGGTTTTACCGACACGTACCCGTTTGTGCGAGGCCTGGTTTCAGCAGTGCCATGCTTTACGTCCGGTGCTTCATCCACATAGATTGCCTTCCGGAATACGTCGGTCACAGGGCTCGTTGGGCCGATATCTCGCAAAGAGATGGCCGCCATCCTTTCGAGATTCGGTATGCCAGTATACGCCTTGCTGATTGGAGTTACACTTGGACAATACGGTACGTGGTTTATTTAGGCGCGGAGAAAAATCCATAGGAAGCTACAATCTAGCTACAACTAAGTTACAATCCACTTGGGAAGGGCCTTATGTTATTGTTAATAGATTTAGTGATGTTGTTTACAGGATTCGTAGGAATCCAAGAAGCAAATATAAAGTGGTTCATGTTAACAGGTTAGCAGAATATCAGACAAAATGTTGAATGGGTGAATGTTTGAAAAATTAGTTAAATTATAAAAAAAAAAGAGTTAAGTAGTCAGGATTCCTCACTTCGTTTGGATGGAAGGGAATGGGTATCGAAGCGTTCTGCTACGAAGATGTGTCATTGATCCTAGCTTTGTGCGGGATGAAAATAACCGGGGAACTTTAGAAGTATGAATGTAGGTGTACTTACTTCCCACATTCTATCTGGGAAGGATGTAACCAGGTTAGACCGGCGAATGGGGGGAAGTTTGAGATGGTTTTGGCTACGGTTGTTGTTAAGCAAAGCCGACGTTAGCAGTCGTCTCAATCGAAGTGCACTGTGAATGGTACAAGGTAGTGACTGTATATTACAACCGTGGTAGTTAGGCATATTTATGTTTTAGGTATACTTATGTTCTTTTCTTGCTGTTTTTCTGTCCTCCTTTTTTTCAGAGATGTCGGAAAAGATAAGTTACTTTTTGGAAAAATGGAGAAGAATTTCTTTTGACGAAGCAGAGAAGTATTTTCTCTTGAGGGCGGATGCTGTTGAAGACAATGAAAATTGTTATCCAAGTCCTCAAGATTGATTATTACTGTCATTACAAATTGTTAGATTGTTTTGTTGGCCGCTAGCCCCCGCAGGTTTTTTAAACCACGGTTTTCCCTGTGGCAAAGAATGTTTTCTAGGCGTATGTCAGGCTAGTTTTTGGTTTTGATGGGTCCACGGTAATTTTACTATGAACTATTATTCCCACGAAACCAAAGGCCCGTTTCTTCATCTAAAAGAATGACTTATGTTGTATAGAGTGTTAAATTGTTAAAATGTAAATGTACTTGAGTCTTAAAAGAGGAGGAGGGGGAAGTGTTACAAAGTAGAGTCGAGGTACGACCGTAGAACAGAAAAGACGTGTCAAGATAAATACCCCTCTTCAAATAAATAATTCTTCCTTTTTATAAACATTATCTCTATTTATTGGAAGTCATGCCGCGCCCACGGAACAATATTTAATAAAGTGTAATGAAATTTTTATTCTGTTTAAGCATTGATAAAAACTTTAACTGTGTAAACATGTTTCAATTCATTTTACAAATTTGTCTATATTTGCACATACATCTGTAGTTTACTTACTAATCATACAGTGATTGTAGATTTATTTAAACATCGTATTTAATGTAATTTCATTTAGATAATGAATAGAAAACATGTAGATTACTCGAAATATACTCTATATTTCTACTGTATAGTTTATTCTTGTCTTTTCTTACTATTTAATATATTTGTAAAATTACGATTTATCCTTATTCTGCAAATTCTCAAGGACATTTTTGAAAATTTGCACTCCTTCGCCATTAGCCTTGCGGTATCCAGGTGCAGACGTTTTCATTTTTTCCATCCATTTTGTAACGTTTGGGTAATTCTCGAGTTCGAAATTGAAAATCTGAAATTAATAAACATAAGGACGCGATAAGCCTTCCAACTTTTTTTTCTGAAGAGTTGTTTGGTTTATTTTTTTCTTACAAAGATTAAGCGGAACAAAAAAGGAATTGTCAAAGTAGTATTCTGATTGAGTCAGACATAAATTTTTACATATTTTATCCTAGTGTTCAAAAACTGATATCCTGGTGCCCACTTGGGACATTAAGCTCGAAATTTTGTACGATTCCGATAAACTATCTTCAAATCCTTTCAGATTTTCGTTATTTAATTCATTTCTAATCGATTTATTGTTTACGGTAGAAAATTCTTTTGTTTATATAAAAAAAGTCTACATCAAAGTTTACAACACGCTTGTTTGATAATCCTCCCACATAGGAATAAATCATAACTGACTCATAATTTAAGAATAAAACTATAATAAATGGTTCTAAAATGCAATTAAATCAATAAAAATATACAATTATTAATAAATAAACAGAAAAATCGCTGTCATTGGCATGATGCTCTTCCAATAATTCATTCAAATGAATTTCGTTTTCTTCAGGAGTTAATCTACAGTAACATATTTTATATGTGTAGATACAACATACAGGTTGCGGTCGAATAACATGTATAAGCGGGCACAAAGTGATTCGTCGTGAAAAAAAAAGAATAAAATATAGAATAAATGTTTTTCATCTGAAGTTTTCGAAGTTTTCTCGAAAATCGAGTTTGATAAGATAAGATAAGGTTAATCCAGATAATATTAAATATTTAACTTGATGTTAACTTTTTATAACTCGCATTCGACTATTCGACAAGACTCGTTCATAGTAACTCGCGATTTGTCAGCTCCAACGGCCGAGCAATCATACGATTCATTCTCACTTACGAGAAACTTGCAACAGTTGCCTAATATTAATTGTACGGGCAACAGTCGCAACTGTACACCACGACGGTCGAGCCTGATATTTACAACCCCAGGCGGATTCAAAAGAGAATCCACGCGGACGGACGCGACATATCTCCTTGTTCTTTCTTGAATCTAGTAACTAGTAAATATCATGTAAGTATTATGTACAAACACGATAGACATTATACGTCGCTCGGTGGACCATATCTTCCCTGCTGCAACTGTCAGTTAGAACCGCATTCAAATTTTGAACCTGGTTCGATGCGGTTCTATCTAAACTTCCGAAAAGTGATTTTTGCCAGTCAAGATAAGAATCCGGTTCAATGCGGATATCCAAATCGATGGATGAAACACGATTTGACGGTCAAAAATTCATCGGTTTCTATCAGAGATTCCCACTTGTATAAAACCAGTAGGTTGGTATCTGGAATTGCGAATAAAAAATCTTACGGTTTCAATTGGGATATGCAACAAACTTATTGAGTCCGTGTCGCCTGGGTTTTTGGTAGCGGCCGCTAGGTGGCGAGTTTTCTCGCAAGCGGTAATTAGAGCCTTTGGCTACTTATGGGGCTCCGCCGAGGAGCAACCCAGAGGTCTGGGGTAGGGGTCGTCTACCGTCAGCCCCACGACGAGTCTTGGTAGACAATTTTTTCTATCTTCTTGATCTGCCTACAGATTTCAGAAGTGGGATAAAGGCCCCGGTCGCTCGTTGTCTGATATATGCCCTTCTCGAGTTGGGTGCGTGTCACTTTTTGTGTTTGTGACCGAGGAAGGTTATGATTATTAGAATCGCTCTGTTGTCTGATGTGACGTCCTCGAGGACTTAATTTTTTCTATCTTCTTGATCTGCCTACAGATTTCAGAAGTGGGATAAAGGCCCCGGTCGCTCTCGAGTCGGGTGCGTGTCACTTTTTGTGTTTGTGACCGAGGAAGGTTATGATTATTAGAGTCGCTCTGTTGTCTGATGTGACGTCCTCGAGGACTGACGAGTCTTGGTAGACGTTTCCCGAGACGAAACGCCATCTTTTGATCTGAATTTCGCACTGTATTTCCAGTTAGAAACTTGACAACAATTTGATGCGACTACATACGGAAATACGTGTTTTTTCAGGTTCATTGATGTCATGTAAATCCGTTGTAACTACTGCTAGCAAAATTACTTGGAAATACTGACAGATTCAATGAAAATTTGTATCTAGATTTCTAGATGGAACCAGCTTAAAAAAGAATGAAGTTTCTCGGGAAGATACTTCGTGCAAATTCGAGTAGAACTCACAAGAAATTGTGCTAGATAATATTTTTCATCTGTTTCAATAAGCATTTTACGGGAAGAATACTGCATCAAACCAGATTAAAAATTTTTTAATGCGGTTCTAATTGGCAGTTGCAGCAGGGTTATTGTTAGCCATAATTGCAACATTGGTTTCGAAGTAGGTATATTAATTCAAGGTTGTATGACAACACAGGCAATACGAAATACGGAAAGAATACATATTTGACAATGTACGTCGATCTATGATGCCCAGATATGAGTTTTATATCGAAATGGAAGGAAGACATATCGAATGTCAGTAAGAAATGTGAAAATAAACATTTGTATTTTTCTATGATGATTACTCATTTTTAACTGTATTCAGTGAGTACTATAAACACCTAAAATCTCTTTCTTTAACATCCCCTAAACAATTGATTGAAATAAAAATGTGAGATTTGAAAATTTACAATTTTCTTTAACTGTTTTCAAACTTTTGAACTGTAATATATATATGTATATATAACAAAATACAGTTTTCGATCTTTATAGAAATCATTCAGTTTTCATTACTGTAATGTTATTTTTAATATAATAAACTGTACATTGAAATAATGAATCACACTTTATTTGTAATCACTATTATCAAGTTAGGAATTTGTGTCAAAGTGATGCCTGACATATTTAGGGTTTTTTGAGGTCTGTGAAGTTAACACCCCCAAATGCAAAATTTTATGAAAAACCAACAGTATTCGTTTGTCCACGATTTGTCCACATTTGTCCAACCAAAATTTTCGCTTGTCCGCCTTTCAAAAAAAAGTTATAAACAAATTAAGAATATGATATCAATACTCTGAAGAACGTTTTTCCTTCATTTCTAACTGGGATATCATTGTTCAGGATATGTCCTCGTTTGTCCACCCAGCAGAATCGAATAATTATTAACAAACAAAAACACGAAAAAATACGATTTAATATTGACAGCGATAAAAGCAAATTTTTGGTGGTCAAACGTTGACATATCGTAGACAAACGATTCCAATGCTTAATTTAGAGAAAATGCAATAAGAAATACTCTGGGCAATTAAATTTTTTGTGTCTTTTTTTATTAATAATTCGATTTTACTGAGTGGACAAACAAAAATTTGGAGTGGACAAACGTGGACATATCGTGGACAATCATATCTCAGTCAGAAATGAAGGAAAAATGTTTGTGGGATTATTGATATCATATTCTTAATTTGTTTATAACTTTTTTTTGAAGGGTGGACAACCAAAAATTTTGGTTGGACAAATGTGGACAAATCGTGGACACACGAATAGTGTTTGTTTTTCATAATATTTTGCATTTGGGGGTGCTAACTTCACAGACCTGATTTATTGTGTTGCTCTTACTTCCGCAGTGGATACAGTGGCAGCCAAGGATAGGTCAGCGATGGTCAAGTAACGTCCTGTAGCGTAATCCTGTCCTTCAAGAAAATTATTCAGAACTTCAAACGCACCTTGCAATTTTTGGTACTGCTCTGGATTGTAATCCTGTGCCTGGCCAAATGCAACTGGGAACTGAAACATATTTTTGAATATAAAAATTTTGACGCAAAGCATTTTTTGCGCAACACTTGAGTCCGCAAGCTCGTTTACGTTTCTCGTGTAGTTTAACACGTTGCCTGCCACGTTGGTCACCTGTGACCGGAGATTGTTTCCTCGATGGGTCCATGGTAGTTATCAGTGACAGGAGTTCACACATGTTTTCTTTAAATGTTTACTCTTGTGACCCCCTGAGAGCATCATGTAAATTTAGCCTGGCAGTCAACGTGTTAATATGTATGTACTATTAATAATTACACGCATAGATTTCAAAAGTGTACTTTTTGTAGTCAAAACCACAAAGTTGTTTTTTCTTCATGCATAGGTGTAGGTGTGAGATCAAACAACCGAGAAATCGCTTATAGATACGTGTATTCTTTATTACTCACGATGTCCAATCATCGGTATATGTATTTCTACACTTGTAGAGCAGAAAAAATGACTATCGTGGGCATAATATAGTAATTAAATTTGAAAATTCTAAATGTCGTATATGTAGGGAATGGCTACCTCTGGTGATACGAGAGGAATTATTCTTCCTGAAAACATGAAGTTTACAATATAAATTGTTTTATATGATATTCCATTTTGGAGAAAATCGCTTTTGTATAAAACTTGTCTGGACGTACGTTTGCGTGCTAACAATAAGTAGAAGCAGCTACTAATAATGTTTATCATCGCGGTAGCCGAGTCCTGTTTAATGCCATGTTCGCCAAACAAACTTTCAAAGTAATTTTTCTCCAGAAACAGAGCCCTATTTGTCAAAAAAATATCTCTATGTAGGTTGTACCAGAACCAGTATGTCTGAAAAATGACAGGATTTATTTTCTTGTCTTTCTCGTGATCGTTATTCCTACAGAATTAATAACATTTTGAAGTTTCATGTATACTTTGATGGATACCAATATTTAATCAGTACCAAACGTGCACAATGTGAGTTGCAGCGATCAACGTGATTGTATCTTATAATAATAATTAATATATCTCGTCACAAAAAATCCAAAAAAACAATAAATCCATATAGTGTTCTGTTCTAAACTCGATAAACCCGTCACAAAAATCTATGAAATTTAAAACAATTTTATATAAATGATTATTCTTCCAGTATCGAGTTTTTGATTTATTTGCAAAATATAAAGACAAACATTTGAATCGTTCGAAGCGACAATGTACGTTTCTTTTTACAATTTCATGAATACCATTCTTTGGAAATTTGTTTTAAAGAGTTAAGTAGTGAACAGTGACTACTATTTCGATATTTAGAAGCATATCTTTCGAACAATGCCGGAATATCGACAATCGGGAGGTTGGAACATCCGGAACTACAATCCATTCGCACATCGTCTCCCGACTGTACGTGAATTTTTTTACCAATAACAAATGACAGAGATTCACTACGCTATGTACACTCAATTTTGTACTCTTCGCCTATTTACTGTTTCCGCATTTCAACGTTTTGATGAAAGAACGCTACATATCCAATCAACAGCAGCTTCACAACTAAGGACAATACACCAGTAGATCTATCTTAACAAGAAAAGAATAAATTGTGATTTTCCGAATCAATTTAAAAAAATACAATACAACAATGACACATTCTAATATGCTCTCGAAAAATAGTCTTCAATAATTTGTGAGAAATGCAATATGTAAATATTACCCCAAACACACAATTATACATTGTAGTAAATATTCAACATTACGATAAAAATACAACGTAAGCTAAAACGAATGGAGAACTTCTTTAATCATAAAAAGTAAATCTACTGCTCCAATTGCTCAAAGAAAGAGAGCTATTTACAACTGTAATATAAAGACGTAAAAGAATAAGAGAAACAAAAAACTTCGCTACGATAACATTCTAGTGATCTAAACAAATATGGCAAGGTTTTTCCCGGCAATATTGAAAACGGATCTTCAGAACTGTATTTATATATTATTGTATATATGTTCAACATCGTTTTAATTCTAGAAGGATATACTTTAACTAAAAATATTAATGTGTATGAATTGATATTAGTATCTTTAAAGGTAACATTTGCTTCCATAACAGAAAAGAAATGCATTAACACTTTCGCTACCAGTGTCTTGTGATGTTGTCAATTTCTCATGGTAGAGCATCGTCACATATGTAGTATATTTGACGCTTATAATTTGATAGTTTTCATAATTTTGGTAATGTTTATTTACATTATTTAGTGACTCTTTTTTATATTGTTGCAATGGTTTATGAAGAAGGTAAATATGTTGTATTTAATAAAATGTTGAAATTTTAACGTGGTTAGTTAGAGACGGTGTTTAAACTAATTATAAGTGGGAATAGCGAACGTGTTACAGAAGTTTTTTGTTTAAATTAGTTTTTAAGAATATAATAAATTGAAATATCTCAAAATGCAAAATGTATTACTTATATTGTTCTGTTTCAGAAAAAAAAGAATGAATACTTTATATTCATGTACTTGCATAATAGTTCCTCACGTTCTTGAACAGAAACATATCGAAATGCAATCGTTGATTGACGAGCGCCCGACCAATCGGAGTTTGTGGATTTAGCCTAGGGTTCTTACCGTACTCATCGACTAAGTACGACATAATAGCTCGGCTGCAACATGATCATACATACAGGCGAATTCACAAAAGTATATAACTTCTCACTTTCTCTGATATTGTTTTTAATAATTGTTTAAATAGAGTGATGTCATCACAAACCTCTCTGTCAACTTATAAGCGCCATCTACAAGAAATGGAACCGTTTTCTGTGGATTCAACTGCAACAGAAAAGTTTCACATTTTAGTAAATTTCTCACTGTAGAAGTTCCTTTTATAATTATACCAGAGTAACTGTATTTTGAATCCGACAAACGACAGTAACGGAACAAAATTGAGGAATATGTGAAACAACGCTAAATTTAGGAATTTTCTCAGGTACGCCATTTGTTCCGATTCATTTATTTGTAACGTTTTTCGTGGGATGATAAATGTAATATTTTGTGAATTTTTAGTATATGTATTTCGTAACTTTTTACTGCAGATGGAGTCATGAATTGAACAGCAGAATTTTTATACATTTTTTAAAAATAAACTAGTAAAATTACGATTGGAGTTCTTTAATGTCTAGAATATCGCTGTTTCATAATATCAAAAAGTAACATATTTTTGTCTGACAATTAATAAAACAAACAATAAGCTTTCTTGTTCAATTTTATATATTTTGTGACTAATTTTCGAACATGAAAAATGAAAACGTTATTAAACTTTCTAGTTTATAATGTATTTGGTACTCGCATATATTATTGATGCCGAAAACCTGTAGTCTCTTTACTATATTCTATACAAATCGTAATATTAAGTAACAATTGCCTTCAATTTCTGTATCTCCATAAACAAATAATTTACATAAAAGTTATAACAAAAATCCACGTTTAGGCTGCTAAATTATTCGCGAACTCTCTTCTTGTAGACTATGTAATTTACTAAAACAGGGATCAAAAAGAAAAGTTACGTTCAGTTAAAAACCAAAGACAAATGTCATTATAATTAGAATGCTTACATATGTGTATTTTTAACTGCTACAAAAGCATAAATATCAGCAATCGATTCATGTCTAATTTGTCATTCAGTAACACGCTCCTTTCACGAAGAAATCTCTTTGAAAATGGAACTCACAAAAAAAACCGATGTCGCGTCCGTCCGCGCGGATTCTTTTTCGAATCCGCCTGGAGTTGTAAATTCCCGGCTCGACCGTCGTGGTATGCGTACAGTTGCGACTGTTGCCCGCCAAATTAATGTTAGGCAACTGTTTTGATAGAACTCACAATCTGAGCCCTTCGGGGAAAGATTCATTCTTTCATCCACTAGGGTGCGCGCAGAGCGCCATCACCATGCGTTTTCTCAGATACGCAACTTGCACAGTTCACTTCAGAGACTATACCGTCTATACACACTGTCGCGTCCTGTTTGTACCGTTAAGCTTTTATACATTAAATATGTTTTGTGTTCATCTCACGCCCGGTGTCGATAATTCGTTTACCCTTTCCAGCCAACGTTAACATGTTTCAATATTCTCGAAGTGAGAATAAATAGGACAATTGCTCGACCGGTGGAGCTGATGAATCGCGAGTACATTAAATGCCAAATAAGAACATAACTGTTTCGCGCATCTCGAATGAGCAGGAGAGGTCTCTCGAACCCCTGGTTCCCCCACTTTCTCGCTTTCTGTAACAGGGACGATAGAATTTGTCATACACCGGGTAACATAATGAAGTATTTCTCAAGACATGAATACTTATAAATTGACACGTTTGTACTGCACAGTCACTCGATGTATGATGCTACACGAGGCATAATGATGCTCAATTGTTTAAGACGTTGGTAACTAAGGTAACCCAGAGGAATATGCCCAAACAAGACCGAAATTCGTCATTTCGCAGTTATGGTCTTATTTGGTTTTTAGTGTATTGTGATCGTGACTTGTCGAATGATTGTTTGCGACGGAATGTTCAAGTCCGAATGACTCTTGTCGAAACGAGTGCGTGAACGATCGAATTACGAATGTTTGCGACTGAATGACTTTTGTCGATACGAGTGTTCGAATACGAATAGCTCGAGTCCGAGTTTCGTGTGACGTCGCGCTTCTTTCAAGTTCGCCAAAGGCGTTACCAAAATTCGCATTCTTATTGGTTATGCTCTGAAGGGGAAGGCAAATTCCAGGGTTTTCCCAAGTGACGTGGAGGTGGAAAACCTCTCCTTCAGGGCGAAGCGGACGCCAGGAGACTATAGCGCAGGTGGTCATGATGTGACTTGACCGCGACGAATTTTCGAGTCTCCCAACGGTAGGGTTTATGGCTGTATTGTCTGCGTGTCAGCGTGCCCCGGTAAGGCCCGGCGCGGATGGGTCCCAGGTTACCGTGCGTATGTGGCGGACTGCAGACCAAATGTTCGAGTCTTTTGTCAATTATTCCCTTTTGTTAACGAAATTGAAATTGCAAGAGGCTGGTATCGAAAATGTCTAAAATGCCCGGACGAAGGAAATAAAATAATCAAAAATAACGGTATCGTCCGACTCTAAAGCCGTCGTTTTGGGTCTACGACGGAACATTGATTATACCAACCTGTTCATATTCTGGCTTCAAATGTTCGCCGCCCATCAAATCGATTTCTTTCAGGTTTAAAGGAAAACCGATCGCTTCCGCAGTTAAAAGAACTGCTCTGCAAGGCGGACTCATTGGTGTGTAATATAAATCCACCGACATTATATTGACGATAAACTGAAATTACGAATAATGTCTGTAAGTTACTCATGATGTTTACAATTTGGAATAAAAGTAGAGATTTGAATTATTTTGGATATTTTCATTTATACAACTTTGTTTGATTTTGTTCACGTATAGTCACTTTTTGAAATTAAAACTAAAATATTAGACTTTTGGAAAAAATGTTCAAAATTTCTAGAAAGAATTTTTAAAACCCATAAATACGGAAAAGCGTAATAAAAGAAAAGTTTAATTTTCTTTAGCTTCTTTAGCTATAGAGATATAAAGTTTCTACATAGTTAAAAATTTTAAGTTTCTATTAAGATTTATTTCTCTAATTTCTATAAAATTATCAGTTAGACTGAATAAAATCTAAAATACATGTATATTTTGTGTGGTTAAGAAAGTACAATTTTGATATTCTTAAATGAAATTTAAGAATGCTGAACGGAATATACATAAGGACCTGAGAAGAACATTCTTTTCCTTATTTCAAGTAAAATAATGGGGATGTAGTGTTGTTTCCACTTTTAATTGTTTTGATACTTTGCCATCAACTATTTTGGATTTACTTTACATGATAAATTCTACTGAGTTTGTTCCCCGCATGCAAGTACTCGTAAAATTTTGTATACCGATTTTATTGAAAATCCTTAGAATCTAGGACGATGTAGTTCAAAGGACACATCGTAAAATATTCCGTTTCCATTTATCACATTATTGTTTCCGTCAATTTTTATTGGAACTTATAATCGTGTATCGGTACATTTTGGCCAAAATAAATAAATATCAGTTATCAACACGCCATGAGTATGCCGAATGAAAATAAAATAAGGTAACTATTAAACTCCTGTTACTGTTTCTGCTGACAAAGACGACATATTATTCTATGTATCATAATTGAATTTGTGTAATAGAGACAATGTACACGCTAGGTTATTCATAGACAAAAGTATTGATAAATAAAAATGAAAGCAACGCCAGGTGATGTTTAGGTCATAATTTTATAACACCTAATGTTAAGTAATTCTAATTATAATAATCATTTTACATTAATATCAAATTGTTTACTTCTTAGTAAAATATTATTCTTACATGTTGCTTAGAATGACTCGTATAAAGTATATGCAAAAAGTACTCGTATTGCGAATAATTTTAATTTATCCCTACTGTATTGCATTGCTATAAATTTCTACAACAAATTGTATATAAAAGAATTATTATATATTTATATAATATTCTAATATTTTGTGGAATTAGCAATACAAATGAAAATGTAGTTAAAGTAGTGTAACCATTACCTAAAGTTTTTGTATCATGGGATAATACATGTACATTCTATCAGCTAAATGTTCCGGATCATCTACCAACTCGACGGACAGTTTCTCTCGATCCGTTGTAACACTGTTAACCGCGATTTATAAATTTTCTTAAAATTTGCGTTATTTTTGTGCATACATTCGTAAACCATCGGGCGATATCAAATTTCTGGCCAGCAAGGCAAACACAACACAGTACATACTGGTGTCCACATTCTTATATCGGCCATTTACTAAGCAATCAATACAGAAGGATAGAAGATTTTACTATACATCGTGGAAGAAATTATGTTTTAGTACAATTTAATAAGTATAAGAAGGTATTAGAAAAGAAGCCACATTTAATTTAGACTTTCTTCCTACACAAATTAGCGTGCATATAGAATGTTACTACATTTCTTGAGTTTGTAACTCGTGCAATCACGCACGTGAAAACATAGTCGTACCTTTTTTAACAACAAATTTGTAACACTTGAGAATAAATCCAGTGGTTATAATTTCAGGAACTATACATTCTTCATCGATGAAAACTAGTGAGGCACACGCACTGTGCCATGTATGCAGGTGAACTGAAGGCATAGTGACTTTCCACGTTTGCGCTGACATATCCGATACATGTACGTACATATGTATACATACATATATGATAAATGCTACTCAATATATGGAGTGGTACAGATAGTATAGAGGGTAGGTCACCCTAGTTGTTCTAATATGGACGTTCTGCCGCTTGTATACCATACACGAATCTTTTTATATGATTTCTATGGGTCGGTGAAAACAATTCAGTCTTTTAAAAATTAATTTTTTCAGAGAAGAATTTATTAAGACAAGAGAAAATAATTGTTTCTATTAATTCAGCTGTAGATTTATTTAAAATACATTTATAAATATTAACAACAACCAATCGGTAGGATATCTCCTTTCGTTGGAGAATTTCCTAGCAAATATTTATTCACAATAATGTTCATTGTATCTTTTGGGATCATGGTTTTTCCCTCAAGAGGTTATTTTCATTTTATATTATTGCACGAAGATTAGATTGATTTATATACGATGAATAATATGTTTTTATATTTCTTACAAAATAGAACATTGAAATAAAGACAATAAAAATATTTCATTTATTCTAACAAATTCTCTGACTTCGACAATATTCACTCTTTCATAAAGTTAATAATTGAGACATTCTCAGATCCACCGCATTTGTTGTTAGTTCTCATTTTAAATATGAAGCCTTAAAAAACTTCGTTGAAAGAAAGGGACTAATTTATCTGTTATTATTATTACATAAGAGGATAATCCTGGATAACTATTCTTCGATATACCATGTGGGAACTTATAATACGGCAGTTAACACTATAAAGTTGTAATGCAAAAACCGAAAAAACTGCAAGCTTAACTATAGTTCGTAATACAGTTTTTAGAATAATGGAGGAAATTCCGTTTTAAAGAGAAAACTCTTTTCTGCAGTTTTATAAAAAAGGATATATCGATTAAGGGGCGATACTCACTGGTTATTACGCGACAATTAAAACGCATGTAAAGCCGAGATTCGAAGTAATTAGGGAATGAGCATCGATTCAGGACGGTTACTATCGAAGTAAATGGACCGCACCGCGAACAACACGCAGCTACCATAATTACCGAGTTCGTTAATTCGTATTCGATAGCGATTGTACTATTTACTGAATTGTATGATAGTTTTACTTCAAGCAAGATTAAATAGTGCCCTTTTCATGGTAGAACGTTCCAAATTTTTTTAATATTTACGCTGAACCTTTTTCCGTCATCTTTTCGAAAAAAAATGATTTCGTGCGTTCGTAATTGTTAAATTTTGTTTAAACCATTTTCAGATATAACTTTACAGGTTGAACGATTGTATTGATACTTTGGTATATTGTAAAGCTCATGTGTACATTGCAATTTCCGTAAGTAATTATTAATTTTTAAAAGTAATATTACTAATACGTAATTTTATAATTGCAATATCTTATAGTAACATACTGGGGTCGTTTCTTTTCTTTCAGTTCTATGTGATCTAATGTTTTATATAGTTTATTATCTGTTATGTTATAATTTTTAACTAACATTAATGATAAATTACATATCAGTAAACCATAAACATATTACATACTTTTTACTACAGTCTAAATCCTATAAACTTCATCTGATAATTATTATTGGCAAGTCTTTCGAATATAAGTTGTGTTCATATGGAAAAGCTATTTTAAACTTTGCCGGAATTACAGTTAACTTCATTAGGAATCGAATGACACACTGATACCATATCGTTCAACGAACTTTAAACAGTCGATGATAATGTCAATATTTAATAACACTTTACAGCTTTTATTAACAACACTAACAGTATTATTAATACTTTATAGTATTAATGTTAACGTGGACAGTCATACTAATTCCGTGTGGGCATTAGCAATTTATTGACACTAAATAATGAAGTCGATACAAATTTTATTATCTTCGAGAATTTGTATCGCCCAATACCGAGGTAATTATGTTCTGCCTTATGATTATAAGCAATTACTAGATTGCAGATTTTATGCATTTATGACATAAGAAAAAGTGCAAAATACAATTCATGAATAAATTATGATACATGCAAAACGCATAAGTGGTGAAGAACTCATATTTCAGCATGACAATGCAGCCGTACATACTTCTAAAATTGTCAAAACATATTTTGACACGAACAATATACAGGTTTTACGGTGGCCAGCAAGGTCACCTGACTTAAATATTATTGAGAATATATGGGGGGAATTAACCCGTCATGTATATCGTGGTGCCAAACAATTTAATTCCCTACAAGAATTAAAAATCGCTATAGAGGAAGGGTGGAATTCAGTTTCTAAAAAATGTATAAAAATCTATACAAAACCCTACCGAAAAGACTATTAGAAGTCATAGAAAGAAAAGGGAAATGTACACATTATTGAAATTTGAATAAAATTCTTGTTTTTGAATCAAATTATAATTTTTCTTCAACATGTCCTATCATTTTGTCGCACCCGTTTTAAACATAAACGAATATAATTTCTGAAAGACAACGTAAATAGTAGTCGATTCTTCGTATGTTACAAAGGAGGGGGTACTGTTTACAGATGTATATACCAAATGTTTGCAAATACCACTGAATTTGAGAAATACGGAAAATCCAGGGGTGTCCTATCATTTTGTCGCAGAGTGTATTGCTGATTATTATTTTTTTATTTAATGCAAGCTATGACTTATTTCCGGCGATAATTCTGTAAGTTTCTGTACCTAAATTTTTCTTCTGGTTTTTTAAAGAACTTATTCATTAGTTGTAACATTGTTGCCCGTTACTAAACTACGAATTTTTATGCCAATATCGAACTACGATCACTTCTCGTTCATTTTTTGTTACATTACCTTTTCGTTAATACATTATTTGAAAAAGGAATTTACAAATTCCTGAGCCTCCCTCTTCAAATAATTATTAGTTTCCATTTTGTTTAAAAAAGTAACTGTGCATTCGTCTTTTTACGTTACACATAATTTTCGTGCACTTGTGCTTTATTCAATAATCTCTTTAAATAACAAACGACAGATGATAAAAAGTATGATTTTATTTGCTAGGTCTTTTTTATTTGCTATTATACGCAGTTTCCTGTGATGCATGCTGACCTACTTGTTCGGAGCTTCGTAGTACAAGCGCAGCGCGTAGCCACCGCTAGCGCGGGAACTCGGCTAGCAAACTCGTGCTCTGATTGGTCGGGATTTTTCGTTAATATCTCGGTAACGAAGCCTCAGATTACATTGTTGCTAAGGAAAAAGTTGTTCCAATTCGCCCCCTGAGTGCCCCATTTCCAGGGTCGAAGGACAGTTTTGTTACACCCTGTATAATCCACATACGATTTTATAGTATACATATAGGCCTTTGAATGTATTAAAAAATCTGTAAGTTGACTATTAAGATTTTATTTAGCTGCTTTCAAACTTGAGAACAGTAGTGTATTTTCTAAGTAGAAAACAGTAACTATAATTGCTAAAAAATCCCTATTGGATTCATTGTTTAATAAAGAATTAATATTAAACAATCTCTTCAGAAGCCACTTTTCATGTGCTTATTTATTTATTGGTACAAAGTATTCTTCAATATTACAGATAGAGATTTATATTCCCGGGCTGTTGCAGTTTTCAAACACAGTAGTATAAAAGAACATTCCTGAACCAATTGTAGGAACCTTGAATATGTAAGGGTATTTATGACTTTGTGCTTTAAAAATAAAATATGAATCCCGATTTTAGCGTTACTCTTACTTATTAAAATTTGTTCATTGTGTAAAAAACATCAAGTTATCGTTCATGTAGTGCTGGTTGCAAAATGGGTGATACAGGATCAGTGAATTTCGTGTCCACGTGCGAGAGAAATAAAATTTTTTAGCAATTTTTGCACATGGGATTCAATATTTGAATAAATTTTCTTAGTATTCTGGAAATTTGTAACTGTAGTGTTTTACAGGAATGGAGGAGGAGAGGGTTCTACATACGAAAACAAAACGAAAATATAGAATAATAGTTTTCTACATGTCTAATATGTATGTCGACTCTCAATTATTTCTAATTGTAATAAATATTAACAGTATTATCGGCTTTCCATTGAGGTTGAGTAATTTATATCTAATCATTCGGGCAAGTAGAATGAATCAATAATGACCAGACAATATGATCCACATAGTAAGTCCGCGTGTCCTATGCACTTTCACTTTCAAACACTATATTTTTGAAAATGAAGGCCCCTACGGAAAACAAATTGTTTTACATTTTTCATTTGCTTTCATATAAAAAGCTGACCCCGTCTTCGATGTACCACGAATTACAAATTTTGTCTGTAGTTCTACTTACAAAGGAAATGCTACAGTTCTTTTAAAAGAACTTCTTCTTCGACTGATAGTATTCCCTATATTTAATTATGGTAAAGATTCTGGAGCCTACAGTATAGTGAGGTTGTAAATAAAAGCCTTAAGTGGGGACATCGATAGGTGTAGCCACACCCATAATTGTACGGGTTTCACAGAAATAGCACTTTGAATGTCAAGCTGAAAAAGTCATCTGTGAGTTGATGTTTAAAATTTCTACTTTCATTAAGTGTACCCTCCGGTCAAAACATTCGAAAAGTACGTGATTTTCATGAATTTATAAAAAGACAATGGAACATCATGTGATAAATACTCGGTTTGATCCTTGTTATTACATATTTGAAGAATACAAAAAAAATGTTATTGTTTAAATTTTAACAATTTTTCCATCAAATATATAGCACTCATTGTACTACTGTACAAATTGAAGGTCTTGACGAGCGCCATCAGAACTCATGATAGGGTCGTCTTAAGTAAAAAAAGCAAGAATATTCTTAAAATACATGTTAATAGCTATCGCCTTACCTATCCTCAATCCAAAAAAACAATTCAGCGATCTTTGGCACCTGTTTAAACAGAATGTAAACAAAAATACGGACTTTTTCATGCATAAATTTGTCTATAAAAAAAAAAAGAGTGATCCAAAGTTAATCTTCGTAACACGACAGCAACGTGAATTGTGAACAAAATGTCGCAAGAATTTTTAAACTCGGCCTATAATTAAACTTTTTATTATGGCGCCCGTGGAGAAAAATCGTGTTTCGAAAAAAACACATTTAAAATTTTTTTGTTCATTCTCGAATTAATCATACGTACATAGATCAATGTTAAAGGTTTTTACCTTTAATCAGCTATTACTGCACCATACAACAACCCTTCCGTGACTTCATATTCCATTTCCTTTCAACTCGCTTTTTTCTTTTTTTCGAGCTATTTTACTTTCTTTTGACGCGCTCGTACTACGACGGTTGGCTTCCGCGATACGCTCTAGGTCTCCCTTAACGGAAAAATGTTTAGCGTGGCGGCCGATATTAAGGTCGAATAAGTCCATAATCGTTAGTAAAGGTTCGCATCCTTTGTTAAACACGCATACCGAAACCCAGGCCGAAATTTTAAGAACGTTTCTTCCACAAAACATGTGTTTCGGAGCGAGCTGCCGTATACACTGCCATATTTTTTTCTATGCAACGTCTTAAAAGTTCTTTAGCAGTCAAGCTTTTGTATACTGGTTTTGCAATTTCTTGTACTTCTGGATCTAATGGAGGCTTGTACGAGTATTTTTGTTTAGTCACTTTATGCTGTAAGTGAGGGTCAAATGACCGTATTGTAAATATGTGTTTGTAGAATCTATACTTTTACGAACTTTTGACTGAAACTTTAACATAGCATTCTTGAGATGCTGTATAATGAAAATATGCAAGAAAACAAATCGATTTTTTTCAGAAATTTTGATCGGAGGATACCCTTAAGACTGTACGATATTAAGCCCCAATCGCCTCTTGCGTGTTAAGAATTGCCGTATTAGTAAATAGATATTAATCTGCAATTGTTACAGATTAGGAGGCATACTTTTTCATCGAACCGGCCTGAACTAGGCTCAAGCTCTTTCTTTTCCTCTAATTGTGGTTTTGGCACCCGAAACTTGAAAATTTTGACTCCTGAATGATTTTACAAACCCACTATATACATATGTTCCAGGGCCTATATCTTTTATGGCTTTAAAAAATGCACTACTCATTTACATATTTTAAAATGGAATTGATTAAATAAAAATATTTAGTGAAGTTAGATGAGGTTTTCGCTTTATTTGAGACCTGATAGAATCCTGAGTAGGCTAAGGGAATTTCTGTTTAATGTCAGTTTTTGTAAAACTGATAAGAAATATATATATTTCCATAAATGTCCACAGTCTAAAGATTATAGATGAATACATTTCACTCACATTTTTCAACATGTTCATTAACATTTTTATATCGAGTTTAAGTTGGCAAGTAACACAGATCACATACAATTAACGTTCACATTAAATATTGAATAATATTAAAAGTGTGTATTTAATTCGAGTGTAAAGAATTTTATTGGAGCACAAGCAGAATATGTGAGTCTGTTGTAAATTAGATTACACACAGAACGATAATAACAATCGATAGTATTGCGAGGATAAAAGGTATAATAATTTGTAGTCAATGTTCGTCCACACTCTTTTATTAATACAATTGAAATCGTGCGATACATAAACACTATATCTATAATGACGCGCGGATAAAAGATGCACTAGAAATTGTGCGTTGACGCGGAACGAAGTGAACGCTTCCGTGAGTCCTTCCAGAATGCCCTCGAAGATCGAAAATCTTGGGAACCAAACGTAGGAAAAGTGATCTGACAATGGTCACAACGTTCGCTGACTTTTATCGCTAACGTCAAAAACTGTGGACTTGCACGAGTCTGGGTGCCAGATGAGTACATCAACAAAAGCCAATCCCGAGCAAGACTTTCCGGAAAAACCCGGTAAATCGCCGCTTACACATACTAAGTACCTAATACACGGGGAATGGTAGTGACAAGGTCGCTACAGTGTACAAAAATGTCTCAATGCGGTTTATAAATACAGATTGACCAAACACCTCATAACGCGTTGTTTACTTCTTCTTTAATTCATCCACCATGGCCTTGAAGGCTTTGAGACCAACGTTGTTGCATTCCTCGTATTTTGGCGCGGTTGCCTTCATTTTGGCTAACCACCTACTTACGTTTTTGAATTTGCTAAAATCGTGATCGATAACCTGTCACAAAAAACAAGAATAAAAATGATCAACATGGAGGCGTTGCTAACGTTCAATTGTAATTTGAAAAAAGTTTTGTACCGGACACATTTGCAGCAAATAAATAACATCGGATAGAAATACTTAAGTAAAATATATGACTAGCCAGTAATAAAAAATACAAAGGAATTGTAATTCAACTATAACCGTAATATCAATCGAATAGATTACAAATTAACGCTATGGTGGATATCAGAGGCGGTCAGTGGTATAAAAATTATTATCAATAAAAATACGATTTGATTTAATTAGACAGAGTGCTAATAAAAATGTGGGACACTTTCAGAGATTGGATTCGACATGCCAAACTAAGATGAAAATCAAGAACGATGAAATTGCGTTCGAGGCTTCTTTCCGAGTAATTAATTGTTGAAAATATGGGTAAAGTATGGTGAAATAGTCTGACGCGACGGGTTATATTACTCGAACAGCCGATTCTTAGCTGATATACAGGCTCGATTGATGAACCAGTGAACCTAATGAATAAAACCAATTCGTGGAATACTTGAAGAACGTGCCTCTCAAGTAGAATAACCGGTCACGTCAGATATATTTTAGGCGTATTTCGCCCGTGTTTTCACAAATTAATAACTCGAACACGAAACCTCGAACGCAATTTCGTCACTCTTGATATTTCGTCTTAGTTTGGCATGGAGAATGCACCCTGTGAAAGAGTCCCACAGTTTTATTAACTCCCTGCATATTGCAGCACTTGTGGATATGATTTTGGGACATAATTTTTTCATGCTGCACGAATATTAATTTCTTTGTGTCCTCTATTGCAACCCTAAGGCTTTGAAACTATTATTATTGTTTTATCATTATACGAAAATTTACTGTATAGTAATTGCGTTAGAAACTGTGAGAAACTCAAGCATTGAAATCTGATTGTTTTTTTTTAATTGTTCATGATTGTGCATCTTTCATTATATCGAGCACTGTATAAAATAGAACAATTCATTTCTAGATAACCCCGTATACAAACTTAATCTTATTGTTAACTAAATGTCTTGACTCTACTTAAAAATTCTAATTTCTGAAGACATAAATTTTGTATGTAGAAATCACATTTACATACACGGAAGTACGTAACAGGAAATTAATATTATACAAACTGTTACTAGAGAATTTGGAGTTACTTTTTTACAAAAGTTAGCAACAAGTAGAACTTGTGTGAGATATGTATTTAAATATCAATTTAATTGTGCATTTTAATTATTAAAAATGATTAACTGATATTCATTTTGTTTGTCGCAAAACTGAAACAGTGGAAGTTAGTGATAGAATCATGTAAATTATGCTAATTTTTAATGGTAAATGAGTCGAAAACATTTTTAAGGGACATATATGAGAAAATAGTTGCGATTATGCATAGACAAAAATTACCTCAAGTGTGGAAACAGTGGCAGTAAGGGATAAATCGGCAATTGTCATATTCTTTCCCGCAACATACTCGTCTGTCTCGAGGAATTTGTCGAGTAGTGAAAGGGCCGTATTGACAGCCTCGTATTTGGTTTGATCCATGGGTGCCTTGGCGAAAATCGTCGGATACTGCAATAAAGATTTTTCAGTGAAAGTCAACGAAATATTCCACTCTTTTGAACGGTAGTCTTATCTCGTATTGCAAGTGAACGTCAGAAATATTGCTCAATAATGTGATGACTTACGTAACAGTCACCAAAGGCTTTGTACAAGGTGCAAGCATCAAAGAACAATCTCAGGTTAACCATCGCGCGTTTTTTGGGATCCTTTGGGTACAGTGAATCGTTCTTGCCATACTGTTCTGCCAAGTACGCCATAATAGGTCGGCTACAAGAGAAAGGAAGAACCGTACAAAGATCACAATTTCTGAAATTTTAATACACAGTGATACGAGTATTGAATAAAAAATTCCTGATGTAATAAAAAATTTCCATTACTAGCCAGTTTTAATTGACGATGGCTGGGTTGCTAAATGAGAAATTCCTCTATGGTATATTATTTCATAGAAAGTGGCCATTACGGTGGTCAAAAAGTAATTTCGGATGTCTGTAATAGACGATGCTGTTTTTTGTTTTCTTATACAAAGCATTGCACTTGAGTAATAAAATAACAGGTCATCCTACAAATAATGGGATTTTTTTTTATGTTTCTAGAAAATGAAGTACAATACAATAATTAAAGCTATTAATCTTTTACCTGTATATATTTTCGTAATTTTTTACATTTCAATACCTACTTTTCAATACCAAGTTCCAGGTTTCCTTCCACAAACATCAACGAAAATTCGTACTACTTGTGGGATGATCTGATATGTACATATTCTGAAAGCTAACACTTCAACGTGTGGTTAAAAGAAAAATGATTACAATTGCATTAAATTTTCTTGAATTGACCATGTTTTAAAAAAGAGTGCTGCGAAGACGATGGTCTGGATGATAACAAAGCAAATTTCCTATGTATATGGTGACGGTGGCGTAAACGAACGAAAATAAACCAAGTATAACTGCTCGAAAGTGAACCTTTCTGTCACTTATACATATTTAAAACAAGGTCAATTCAGGAAAATTGAACCTAATAGTAATGATTTTTTTTAAACGATGCATTGAAGTGTCAACACTCAGAATATGTACAAATTTTATTAGTTACGAGCAGTGTGCGACCCAACGCAGGTAAGCGTATGTCATTCGATAGCTTGTCAAAAGAAGGGTTTGTACCCAGTTTCAACCCCCTATCTGGACAAGAAGGGCTGTAATAGGTAAAATGCGATTGTCAGTTTTTCCATTATTTTTCCTGTTTAATGGCGTGCAAAGCTTCTGTAAAAAATCTGGTAAATAGTCTCTACCGGGGCATACGTTAGGCCATTTTTAGTGATTTTATAGTTGAATAATCAAGTTATGAAAAATTGAAAACACTGAAAAGTTATGAAAAGCTTTTTTTTGTTGAAGTTTTAAAGGCACCACATTATCCTTTCACAGTAGCGACATAGCATAAGTAGTGTCCTCAGTTTTTTGAAGATTTTTCAGTAGGGTGCGCCGTAGTTTCAAAAATCAAAAACCGATTCTGTCGAAGTCGTTTCCGTGAAAAAGTAACCTATACTTTGAATTTTTATATTACCTTTCTTAAGTAAGTATATCATACTATTTTAAATATTTCCATATCCAGTAAATTAATATATAAATTGTAGAAATCGTATCAACTTAAGCCTTTCGTTACAGCGGACCGATCCGCCGGAGTGCCGCTGTTGAACGGAACCCCGCGCCAAAAGTGTACACAGTACGCGTGGACAGTGTTCGGCGAATTTCGCTGGAACTAATCCAAAAAACAAAAGACGAAAAAATATGTTTCGAATCATGTGGTTGACTCCTGGTCAAATAATTCGCGCAACGGCCACAACAGGCGCTACTATCCACTAATTAAGTGAGTAGTTCGCGACTTCCGCCGACTATAGCCGGCGCTCGTATCCACGGGTTGCTTCATGGAGGCCGCTATCATAGACATATAATAGACTGCGCGGTCTTATGGTAGGAATGAAGCGAGAACGAAGGACAGAAGTAGCGCTAGAGTAACTCCTCTTTTGATCACACATCGCAAAGGGAGGGGAGAAAGCCACTGGAGGGCGATGAGGAGAAAGAATGCTGTACGCATGTCATGTCTCCACTACAGCCGTAGGAGAAACCCCCACCAACAGCCTCATTAGAAAGAGGGGAAAGTTACTCCAGGTACTGTGCTCTTTTTCTAGTGCCGACTTCTTCAATACCATAAGACCGCGCAGTCTATTATATGTATATGTCTATGCCGTCTATAGCCGGCCTTCGGCTCCGAGGGTTACTTTATGGTGACGGGCTATAGCTGGCCTTGAGGGCGAAAGGGTCTATTAAATTTGTGTCCTATCCAGTATACATATACTGAAGTATTTATCAAACTTCCAGGAGCCTCGTTGGTGTAGCGGTTATGCGTCTCGACCGCGGAATCGCTAGGAGGTTTTTTTGGCCGTGGTTCGCCCCCCTATACACATACTAGGTTTTTTTATTACATTCATTACATATTTTTTAATTTGTAATTAAATGACAATAAATTGTTGAGAACATAGGGTAAGATAGTCTATTGTTAAGCATACCATGAAGCCGAGGTTCAAAAGATTTTTATTTATATTATAGGTTAAAATATTCTTGAATAAATACAATTTGTTGTCATTTAGTTACAAATTAAAAAATATATAAGGAATGTAATATAAAAAATTTCTACTTTGTACGGAGCTTAAAACAAGTCCCAAAAACTCCTCAGTGGTTCAGTAGTTAAGACGTTTAGTCGCTACACCAATGATGCTGCTTTTACAAGTTTGGTAAATAGTTCAGTATGCACTAAAGGCTCCATGAAAGTTGGATAGGAAGTTTCTCGTGAGAGTTCCTACTTCATCCCCACCACTGGACTGGCGCTGGGCGCCAGGGTGGGGGGGGGGCGTGGAACCAGTCAGGCATATAATTTATTGCCCCGGCGCGCCACGGCGGCTTCCCTTTCAGGAGCAGACGCGATGACAGAATGTTGGTGGCCTAAAAAAGATTAAATGCCCAGATATCGTCGAGACAGCAATAATGTAACAATGAAACTCTTTTATTTTCGATTTTGTTTAATGAAACTTTCATTACTATATTGTTGAGATTTTTCTGATTAAAATGATTCCAAACACGATATAATTTGGATTATATTTACTTATGTAGAAAGTATAAACAATTCATATTCTCTTATTATCGCTACTGATAAATTACAAATACCGGTTGCTAGACACATTTATGCAAAATAATAATGGTATAGTGTTTTTAGTATGTTATACAATATTCTAAATTATTTGTAAAAACGATTATTTTGAGTTGCGTTTACAGTAACATAACACATATAAACATAAAATATTTATAATTAAATAATAACTTTATATACCGTATTTGAGAAAAAGTTAAGTGCAATACCTTAGAATAATTATTGCAAAGTTTTTATAGTATGTCCGGTTTTATTGTATATACGCTATTATTTCTCTAACTATTGAAAATACAAAGAAATGTTTTATATAAAAGATGCTTGATTTCATAGAGAAAACCTAACAAAAAATATTGAAATTCTTCCTTTATTTGTTACTTACAGAGATTTGAATAACAATGCAATTTTTTTAAATAGGACTACGTATTTTTATTATTGCTATGTAATTAAGTATTTCAAGACAAATTCAACAACATATTTGAAAGTTCTATTTGAATAATAACTTAATTCGATGTTGCTGGAAAATGTCAAGTTAGGTTAGCATCTTGTATCCATAATGTGTGATTCGGAAGAGAAAGTTATCCGAGAAAGTATTGTTCAAACAGAACTTCCAAATATCATGTTGAATTCGTCTTGAAATGCTTAATAACATGGTAATAATAACAATATCCAGTTCCACTTAAGAAGTTACACTGTTATTAAAATTTATGTAAATAACAATATTTACAAAAATTCAAATATTCTATGAAGTTTGCATCATGAAAACAAACAACTTTCAAATTAAACATTTTTTTGTATTTTAAATAGGTGGAAATACAATAGCGTGTACACACTGAAACCGGATATACTGTGTATGTATACTCCTTTGATAATATTAACTGTTTCTCAGAAAATCGTAAACATGTAATTAATTACGTTATATTCCATATTACTGGAACCATATGTAAACGAATTTCGCGGGATGGTTTCCACAATTCTCGTCCCCCTTTCAGTTTCATTCACGGATCTTTCTTATGAGAAGGTGCGAAAATGTCTAACTTTATCCAATGTTCCTTTAAGACGTTTGCTGTCATTTGGAAAATCGTACAAGTTCTGCATCGGCACTGCGCCGACAGGGGCAGCGAATGTAAAGGACGAAACACCTTATGAATCGAACGATTGCCGTCGAGCCTAAAATACAAAAGCAAGCTGCCGAGGCTCGGGCTTCGAGCAAAAAGTTATGAGGGCCTAAAACATTGCCCCTCGGTGATGCAGGTCCCGATCGGGACCCGAGTTCTGGGCAATAATAGAAAAAAAATTGTAATGGATACCGTACCGTTTTAATTTAGTTGATTCGATTTTTACAATTAATATACTGTTTTACTGAAAATGGAAAAATTTTAAATCATATAACATATTCTCTCAAAGAAATATATAGAATATACGTATAGAAATAACGTCGAAAGAATCGGTTTTTATTCTCATTCACTCAACAATTCTTTCATGAAAGTAGAAGCTTATCATCGAAGTATATTTTTAAATAATTACATTTTCAAATTTACCGCATCGTCAACAAAACATGACAAAGAGTGTGAATATTTTCCCAAATTATTTCCCTATTAGTGAAATTATTTCTCCACAATTGTGCAACTAAATGTTAACTTTGAAATAGTCTTACCTCTCCCACAGAATAAAACCATTGTCGTTGATCGTAGGAACCGTGTGCTGTGGATTCATCTATGCATAAAGAAACATTAATAACACCAATTTCGAGTACATTATGGCAGCCAGTAATTTCTTTTTTTTTCGGTATTCGTACCTTCAGGAATTCAGGTTTCATCTGTTCTCCTTTCATCAAGTTTACAGGTTTGGCATTCAATGAAACTCCAACCGCGGCGGCTGCCAGAGCAACGGCGCGGCACGGAGCGCTTCCGGGAACATGATAAAAATCGATCGGCATGGTTTCTGTAACAACACGGGATACTTATATTGTTCAAGAATTTTCCGAGGAAATATCGATTGCATTGGTAATGCGGACTACGGACCTTTAAGGAAGCATTAGTCTTTAGCGATACATTTGTAAAAACTAACAATGTAGAAATTTCTTTACTGCATGGAAGGTTTTACCTGGTCCCACATATAATGAAAACCGTAATAAAATATATTGAGCTTCTTTAGGTACTGAATTTCAGACGCTGTTTATTTGAACGTCGTTTCATCCAACGTTAATACACACGTTTCAAACGGATTGTTGTTAACATTGTATACATGTGAATATTGTATAATAAATAGGCTTTTGTTGTTTTTACCAGTTTGTATAATCGCGGTCTTACTTTACATTATGAATGCATAGAATTATTAAATACAGTAGGAAACGCAAGTTTAAGAGCCAAAGGAATAAAGAGATAAATTCTTCTGGTTACATGGTAAACACAAAGATATATGGAAAAATAGTATTTACATGAAATTTGTATAACACGAGTATGCGTTTGCTTTAATAGCAGGTGTTTATAGAGATGTGGAGATTAGCATAGCAGAATATTTTACATGATTATTGCATAATCATGAAGTGTATAGTATTTTAACCATGTATTATATAAACCTCTCATGGTGCATACCAATGAAAAGAAATAAATACATTTTTTGTAAATAATGTGTCATTTACAATAACATTGTTCATCAAATTTGAATTTTTGTCGTACCTCATAACCACTAATAGGTGTTTCTGATGTATCTTTATGTGCAAAATACGAATCCGCAAACCGTTTTTTCCCAGCACGCCAAATTTCCGAAAAAATCAATTTTAAAGAACGAACCTAAACATTTTGAAAAATTCTAGTAATACTTATTCAGATATTTTTTACACGAAAAAATTCTCTGGACTCTTCGTAACAAAATAATATACATTGGTACTTTATTATAGACATGTAAATATGTTTAAATAATGATCAAAGTGAAAAGGATACTGAAGACGCACCAATTTTTGCTGATATTCTTTCATTTATTTCAGAAACTAAGAGTCTAAGAAAAAATGTAATCATAGCATGTGATAGAGCAGACCTTTCTGTTAAGGGACATGTTAAGGAAAGTTACAAAATCTACTTTGTTTTCAGTAAAGAAGCGAAATAGTTCAGAAAAATACGCAGTGGCAGCAGTTGTACTATGAATGCATACACGCGTGATGCGTTACGATAGCGACAGTTACTACTGATTGTGAGTGTGTCAAGGTTGTAAACATTACATGTTACAGTGTATGATATTAAACGCCAGCTATATGTCAGATAAATGCATTAGCGGTATTTCATTACTAGTAGATCCAAATTGAAGTAGGTCAATATATACAACAACCTTACCATACAGGTGGCGTACAATAAGTGTTGGAACCAAGGAGAAGATAGTTCAACACAAAATTATGAATGAATAAAATACCGGTCTATTTTTTTTTCTTTCAAAGTTTTATTGTCAACAGACATGATTTCATCGCTCATGTTATCTCAAAAGAAAGTAATACTTTAATACGCACGTAAATGTGTACGTATCTACAAAAATGATTTCGTTCTAAAAAAGAAAGAAAACATTTTACTCAATGTTCCAGACTTATCTGTACGCGCAGATTCACCTAATCCACAATTTTAGTTCTCATTACATGACACCTTGTATTTTTCAATACGGATCCACATGAAAGCTTGAACATTACCGATTTCTACATAAGTGGCACTATGGAGCAAGTCGATAACCGCGGTACCAAACAACATGTCAAAACTAATTAGTTCTTCGTAATTTTGCGACTCTACAAATTTTCTCTTCGCATTCGTTATCTACACAGAATGTCGATCTAAGAGAGCCACGCACACCGGTGAAAACAACGCTCGCGTGCCATCGATAGATGCATTTTAGCGTGAACTGTACAACGGCGAACTGACGAAACACCGAATTACAGTTTGTAAAAATTCGAGAATGCACACAAGATGATTTACGATAGCCGACAAAACGGGATGGAAATATGGTTACGTACTGTTTCGATCCGGCACAACAACGGAATAATCGTGAACTGTCTGACAAAGTTAGACCTCGAGTCTTGCCTATAAATGCTACGGTACGCTGTACACAACCTGCTTTTCAAGCGGCTGGATAAACGTCAACGCGCAGGCCCGACAGACTACAACCTGTTACCGCTGCACAGGCGTCGCTTCCTCCACTTTTTCGTAGTTGATTCTGTCAAATCATTCTATCCTAGAAAATGTGGGGCTGAGTCATCCACGATTGAAACACTACCGGGCCGCACACCTTTCTAAATTTGTTTCGTGTAATACGGATGTTAATGCGTGTAGAGAATTGATTCATTGGTTCCGTGTTTCAAAAATTTCCATATTTTTGGTAATATTATCAGAATCAGAGAAAAAGTTTAATTCTATTCTTTTGCAGCAGAACAACGATTATTTGTACCAATAGGGAGATAAATCAGTTCTGATATACGATGTTTCGGATATTATAATTGGTCCAGGAGAACAAAAGTTGCAAATATATATCGTAAAACGACTAGAAATTGTTGGTACTCGCGATTGATGTTTATTATGTAGAAGCATATGTGATAAACTTAATAGAAAAAGCAAGCTAAACATTCTCAAATACAGCTAGCTTCCGTATTTCACCTAAAATAAATATTTGAATAAGATCTGTGCATTTCTTTTTGTGTTTGCGTCAGTCTTACTGCAATTGATACTATGCAATAATAATTATACTGGTATTATACAATGTATTTGTAGCTTTGCTATGCAATTAAATAGTACTCGTGTGCGTGATATTGCTTCATCGATGTCATTCTTTTCTTTAACAAAAATGGATGAAAAAATATCATCGACCAAAGCACTGTCAACAAATTAAAACTCTGTGTGTGTGTGTACTAGCCGGGGTAGGTTAAGAGAGCGAAACTTTGTAAATGTAGGATACGTAGATTAAGTTTAGAAGTAAGAGACGAGGTGTAAAGGAATTGTAACCCTTTGGGGAACAATAAATTCATATACTAGTAAAAGTTTCATTAACAACGAATCAAAAATAAAAAAGTTTCAACGTTGCATTGGCATTGTCTCGTGCGCCGGGCAACAATGTATGTTCTCGATTGACTCGACGGACGGAGCGGGGAAATGTACGACGATTAGTCGAAGCGTTCAATCGTCAGCGACTGCTTAGACAGCTGCCGATGAATTAAATATAGTTGGATCTCCGCCAGTCACACATATTTTTATTATTGGCCGAACAATGACTCAGAACAATGAATCGTGACACACACAATCGAACTGTCTGGTCGGCTATAATATAACCATTAGTCGGCGAGAGCGTCGCAGGTGGGTGACGCAGCCGAGTCGAGTGCAAACAGAAGCTTTCCCTCTGTTTTTCAATCGCTTATCCCTTTCTATGTTTGGAATACTACAAAGGCGAGTTGCCGACGCTCGAGCTTCAGGTAAAAAACGTATTCACGAGAGTCAGAAGCGTTTCGCGTAGTCGACGATTGTTGTCCCAGTCCGGACCCGAGTTCGGGACAATAATCGCGAAACCCATGTAACACAAAAATATATTTGAATGGCACCTAACGGCAAATTCTTCAGCTTTGTCATTACGTTCTTCAATAAAAATAGATGAAGTAATATCGTGTTTGTCTACAATGTTACATCTTGGATTATCTCTACATATTTCAAATCCAATAAACTATACTGTTATTTAATGCGTTCCATTATTTACTTTAAGTGCGCTTAAAAATAATAGATTATATGTTTTCCCGTGTTTTTTTTTCAACTAATTCCTTCAGAAAACATTCGTGATTCGTTCTATGTTCCGATAATCAGTATTTGAGATGATTGACGTTTCCAATGATCAACATTTGAATAATCGGCAGTCTACTTTACTCATTATTATGTATGTGTAACAAATCGATAAATATTTCATATTTTGTAGAAAAAAATTAATTCGCTATTTTCGTTTTTATAAAAATGCTAAAGTTATAAAAATTGGGTCTTTACCACCTATATTTTTTTCAGAACAAACATGTTTTTGCATACAGGAATTTACTATAATACGAAAATTGTCGTCCGCAACCTTAGATACGTTCTGTAGGCGCAGCTGACCGAGCAACGCAACGTGTCAACGAACCAAAATAAAAACATTTCGGAGATTAGTCGCTCGGTTCAGACGTATGTGTCCGGTATGCTTGCGTGTGTGAGTGCCCTATTTGTATCGATAGCTGACCGATAGATCACCAAATAATCAAAGGCCATGGCCCAGTAAGAATTTTAACCAGCGATCTACCGGCAGCTCGCGACATACAGGACAGGCAGAGTGAGTGAGAGAGAGAGAGAGAGAGAGAGAGAGAGAGAGAGAGAGAGAGAGAGAGACAGAATATTGACAAACGTATATATGTATAGCGTTGTTCGCACGACTCGCGACACTAGATAACAATCACTCGATGTAAAACACTCGATTTAAAACTTGTCAATTGTGATCATAACCTGCAAAAATAAAATTAGATAGTACCCTCAAGGAGTAATCAGTTATTCTGAAAGAAAAAGTTTTGTCATCAGTCGCACAATACTAATTTGCCGTGCGACACGGCATCGATTATTAAAACCGACGCAACAAGTCGTGTAACTAGCCTGCAGTGAAAGGGTCGAGATCTTTGTTCAGCCTTAACATGGAAATCCAAGGTCTGAAGAATACGGAACGCTGTTGGTTTCGGCGATAAACTAGAGCAAGGAATACTCAGTAAATCGAAACTAAATATATACTGTAGCTTGCATAATAATTAACGTTCTTAGCTCTCCAACAATTCGAACATTCAAGTATTAGGCTGTTGTACATGGTATAATCGTTTTACTCGAGGCACTGGATATTACACTGAACATTGCATGAATGTTATTAGGCAAAGTATTATTAAACAGACTCTTTACAATAAATCTTAAATAAGTATTCGAAGGCTCCTCGGCACTAAACATTAAATATTTCATAAACTAATGGTCATATGCAACTGAAACAAATATCAGTGGCTTCTTAATTTCAAACTCTACCACTATGCTAAACCTCATTAAAAAGTCAGCGTTACACCTAGTCACTTCACTTTGCCAGTGCCAAGGAGCCTTCGAACACTCGTCAAGGATTTGAAAGTGATCCTTCAAAGACACTTCTAGCTTTTATAGCTAGCATCGTTTAGCATCGTTAAAGAGTATTTTCTACCAGAAATTTACATGCACCTTTATAAAGTATATTTAAGAATTTGGCTTCAATGTCCATCTTTTAATGCACGTGGAAGAAATGAATGAATTTAATTAAGTTTGATTCTCTACCTTACATTAACTTTAGTGTTTAACATAATTGACTTTACTGTTACGCTAAATAGTAGTATTACCTTGAAACAAGTAGAGTACACTGTGTAATTTTACAACAAAGAAAAGAATCATGTTAATCATTTTAATTCATGAAAGTAGCGTCAAATATATCTATCGGTAAGATAGCTCACCTGATGTACGACGATCTACTAATAATAGGTCCTACACGATGTAGCTTTTGACAATTAAAACGTAGCATCTAATAAGTAAATGTTCAATGCCTGTTTAAATTCGAAAAATTGATTTTATACACGAAACGATAAAAATGTTTAGGTTCAGAAGGATTTATGTGCTCCTCGAAACGAATTCAGGTCAGTTTGTATCAGTAAATCGTTAACTGAGTGCCTTCGCTTTCGAGGAAAACAATTCAATGTGCTATAACGGCGGCTGGTGAAACGTGAATCGATCATGGCCTTGTAAGTGCTGCGACCCATTTTTCAGTTCAGGGCCACATTCCACCCAGCGGAATTATTTTGCAGGACTTGCCTCATGGGAAACTGGAAATCTAAGAATACCGCAAATCCTTTGATTTAACGGCAGCCTGCGCGCGTATGCCAGTAGAAATGTAGTTCTAATTAGTTGCGGTTACAACCACGGAAACAAACTTACCGAGAATATAAATCAATTATAGGTAATGGCGTTTTAGTGGAATTTGGTTAGGGGAAAGGCGGGTAGCGCCTGATTGTGGGTAGCCCTAAACATTTCAATATCTTCATTAGTAATGAATCATTACTTAACGATGTAGAAAAATAAATGACAGATTATAAGATGTCTGCTTGAGTCCAGCAGCAATTGCAAGTTAGTAGTAGCGTGCACGCCAAGCGAATTACAGTAAATTCACGACGAGGGTTCGGAGGCTCCTCGACACTGAACACTAAATATTTCATAAACTAATTGTCATATGTGACTGAAACAAATATCATTGGCTTCAGAATTCCAAGCTCTACCACTACGCTAGACCTCATTTAAAAATCAACGTTACACCTGAGGAACCTCTTCTTTTCGGCGCCGAGGAGCCTTCGAACACTCATCGAGAATTTACTGTGGATATTATAGTTACTTTTCTTCCCGCTGGGAGTGACATTACTGAGACTATTGAATTTCATCGATGCTTGTAGTCTATTAAATGTAAGTAGGTAGTGTTACCTGTTTAAACAATGCAATACATGCAAAAAATTGGCACACGAAGAATGTGCAAATATTGACCTGTCAAATTTGTATTATTACTGCAATGTATACGCGAACTCCTACATAATCGATAGAAATCGTTTACTGATTTTTTTTTAATTATGTAAGAAATGTGTTCTACTTTTGTATTTATAATGATTCAAGAAGTTCTTGTGTTTATTTTTTGAAAGAGTAATTTCATTACAATTTATTGATTATACATATATTGTTTTTGTGTTTTATTTAAATGTCCAGGGCTCCCACTCTTCACCTATGGTTACTAATTCGACTCTAACAGTTTACATTGTGTTAAATGAAATGAAATATTACATCCTTTACAAGATGTTAACTGTTGCAGTATCGATACTCTAGGTATATACACTGCGCGTCAAAATTAAGGGACCACTAAAATTTGCCGAAAATATGCGTCATTTTCAAAAGACTATATCTCCACGAAAAATAGTTATAAACAATATTGTATACGACCATTTTGTAGTCTGAAGTTTCTAGTTTTTGAATCGGGAATTCAAAAATTATTTTCATGTAGTTTCTTCCTTTTTTTTTTTTTAAATGAAGCGCAGCAAGCGAATGTTAAAAAATGTTGGTCAACTTTGAGAGGATGCGTGGGCCAAATAAAATTTTTTCGGGTAATCGAATCAATTTAAAATATAAAAAATCTAAGAAGTAAAAATTTTGGGTTTACATTAATTTTTTTTTAAAATTGGCCACGTTATTTGTTAATACCTCGTCGAGTTACTCCAAATTAAAAAAAAATCATCGTTCTACGGTCATTTGTTGCAGAGAAAACCTATATTTTTTCAACTCCGCCAGATATAACGCACGAGATCAATTTCGGGGTCTTGAGCTCATTCGCACGGCCAGCTCTCCCCACTCCGCTCCCGAGCGCTGTCTCATTTGCATACCGGTACTTTGTTGATCTCTATCAGAGAAGTCCCTGAACGGATTAATTCGAAAATTAAATAACAGATAATTCAACTCTTTCTCCAAACTTGAGAACACTAGTGTATTTTCCAAGTTTGAAAACAGTAACTGTGATTGCTAAAGAATCCCTATTGGATCGGTTGTCTAATAAATAATGAATATTCAACAATCTCTTTACAAGCTACTTTTCATGTGCTTATTTATTTATTGGTACAAAGTATTGTTTAATATTAAATATAGAGATTTATATTCCCGGGCTGTTGCAATTTTCATGCACAGCAGTATAAAAGAATAATCCTGAATCAATTGTAGGAACTTTGAATATGTAAGGGTATTTATGACTTTTTGCTTTAAAAATATAATATGAATCCCGGTGCTAGCGGTACTCTTACTTATTAAAATTTGTTCATTGTGTAAAAAACATCAAGTCATCGTTCATATAGTGCGGGTTGCAAAATGGGTGATACAAGATTAGTGAATTTCGTGTCCACGTGCGAGAGAAAGAAAATTTTTTTTAATAATTTATAGCACATGGGTTTCAATATTTGAATGAATTTTCTTATTATTCTGGAAATTTGTAACTGAAGTGTTTTACAGGATTGGAGGAGGAGGTTCTACATGCGAAAACAAAACGGAAATGTTGGATAATAGTTTTCTATAAGTCTAATATGTCTGTCCACTCTCAACTATTTCTAATTGTAATAAATATTAACAGTATTATCGGCTTTCCATTGAGGTTGAGTAATTTATATCTAATCATTCGGGCAAGTAGAATGAACCAATAATGACCAGGCAATATGACTCACATAGTAAGTACGCATGTCGATGAACTTTCAAACACTATATTTTTGAAAATGAAGGCCCCTAAGGAAAACAAATTATTTTAGATTTTTCATTCTCATTCGTACAAAAAGTTGACCCCGTCTTCGATGTAGCACGAATTACACGTTAGCGTATATGTATGTCTGAGTTTACAAATTTTGTCTGTGGTTCTACTTACAAAGGAAATTCTACAGTCCTTTTAAAACGACTTCTTTTTTGACTGATAAAATTCCCTATATTTAATTATGGTATAGATTCTGGAACCTATAGTATAGCGAGGTTGTAAATAAAAGCCTTAAGTGGAGACATCGATAGATGTAGCCACACCCATGATCGTACCGGTTTCACAGAAGTAACACTTTGACTGTCAATGTTTCAAATTTCTGCTTTCATTAAGACTGTACGATATTAAGCCCCAATGGCCTCTTGCATGTTAAGAATTGCCGTATGAGTAAATAGATATTAATCTGCAATTGTTAAAGATTAGGATGCATACTTTTTCATCGAACCGGCCTGAACTAGGCTCAATCTCTTTCTTTTCCTCTAATTGCGGTTTTGGCACCCGAAACTTGAAAACTTTAACTCCTGAACGATTTTGCGACCCCACTCTATACATATGTTCCAGGGCCTATATCTTTTATGGATTCAAAGAATTCATTACTCAATTACATATTTTAAAATGTAATTGATTAAATAAACATAGTTAATGAAGTTAGATGAGGTTTTCGTTTTGTTTGCGACCTGCTAGAATCCTGAACAGGCTAAGGGAATTTCTGTTTAATGTCAGTTTTTGTAAAATTGACAAGAAATATACGTATTTCCATAAATGTCCACAGTCTAAAGATTATAGATGAATACATATCACTCACATTTTTCAACATGTTTATTAACATTTTTGTATCGAGTTTAAGTTGGCAAGTAACACAGATCACATACAATTAACGTTCACATTAAATATTAAATAATATTAAAAATTTGTGTTTAATTCGAGTGTAAAGAATTTTATTGGAGCACAAGCAGAATATGTGAGTCTGTTGTAAATTAAATTACACACAGAACGATAGTAACAATCGATAGTATTGCGGGGATAAAAGGTATAATAATTTGTAGTCAATGTTCGTCCACACTCTTTTAATAATACGACGTGAACGTTACGCAATTGAAATCGTGCGATACATAAACACTATATCTATAATGACGCGCGGATAAAAAATGCACTAGAAGATGTGCGCTGACGCGGAACGAAGTGAACGCTTCCGTGAGTCTTTCCAGAATGCCCTCTGTTCGGATTATGAGGTTTTTGAAATGTATCGCAATAAACCCAATTGCACTTTAGCAAGAACACAGTTCTTTAATGACTAAATTAAGAAGCCTTTACATTTATTTTCTAACATCACGTACGACTTCGTAAGATGCTCTCTTTGTTAATACTGCCACTCTATAAATCATTCTTTTTAACAGTGACGATGACGCGTCCTCTCTCATACTCAGCTCACAGCCACTTTCACATATTACACGCCTCAACAGTGAATCACCATCTATATATGCATATATATATATATATATATGACTTTGTTCAACACCCTCGAAGATCGAAACGTACGAAACCAAACGTAGGAAAAGTGACCAGACAATGATCCCAACGTTCGCTGACTTTCATCGCTAACGTAAAAAACTGTGGACCTGCACGAGTCTGGTTGCCAGATGGGTACATCAACAAAAGCCAGCCTCGAACAAGATCTTATGGAAAAACCCGGTAAATCGCCGCTTACGCATACTAAGTACCTAATACACGGGGAATGGTAGTGACAAGGTCGCTACAGTGTACAAAAATGTCTCAACGCGGTTTATAAATACACATTGACCAAACACCTCATAACGCGTTGTTTACTTCTTCTTTAATTCATCCACTGCGGCCTTGAAGGCTTTGAGACCAACGTTGTTGCATTCCTCGTATTTTGGCGCGGCTACCTTCATTTTCGCGAACCACCTACTTATGTTTTTGAATTCGCTAAAATCGTGATCGACAACCTGTCACAAAAAACAAAAATAAAAATGATCAACATGGAGGCGTTGCTAACGTTCAATTGCAGCAAATAAATAACATCGGATAGAAATATTTAAGTAAAATGTATGACCAGCCAGTAATAAAAAATACAAAGGAATTGTAATTCAACTATAACCGTAATATCAATCGAATAGATTACAAATTAACGCTATGGTGGATATCAGAGGCGGTTAGTGGTATAAAAATTATTATCAATAAAAATACGATTTGATTTAATTAGACAGAGTGCCAATAAAAATGTGGGACACTTTCAGAGATTGGATTCGACATGCCAAACTAAGATGAAAATCAAGAACGACGAAATTGCGTTCGAGACTTCTTTCCGAGTAATTAATTGTTGAAAATATGGGTAAAGTATGGTGAAATAGTTTGACGCAACGGGTTATATTACTACTGGAACAGCCGATTCTTAGCTGATATACAGGCTTGATTGATGACCCAGTGAACCTAATGAATAAAATAAAATGAAATGAATAAAACGAACTCGTGGAACACTTGAAGAACGTGCCTCTCAAGTAGAATAACCGGTCACGTCAGATATATTTTAGGCGTATTTCGCCCGTATTTTCACAAATTAATAACTCGAACACGAAACCTCGAACGCAATTTCGTCACTCTTTATATTTCGTCTTAGTTTGGCATGGAGAATGCACCCTGTGAAAGAGTCCCACAGTTTTATTAACTCCCTGCATATTGCAGCACTTGTCGATATGACTTTGGGACATAATTTTTTCATGCTACACGAATATTAATTTCTTTGTGTCCTCTATTGCAACCCTAGAGCTTTGAAACTATTATTATTGTTTCATCATTATACGAAAATTTACTGTATAGTAATCGCTTTAGGAACTGTGAGAGAGTCAAGCATTGAAATCTGATTGTTTTTTTTTAATTGTTCATGATTGTGCATCTTTCATTATATCGAGCACCGTATAATATAGAACAATTCATTTCTAGATAACCCCGTATACAAACTAAATCTTATTGTTAACTAAATGTCTTGACTTTCCTTAAAAATTCTAATCTTTTTTACAAAAGTTAGCAACAAGTAGAACTTGTGTGAGATATGTATTTAAATATCAATTTAATTGTGCATTTTAATTACTAAAAATGATTAACTGATATTCATTTTGTTTGTCGCAAAACAGAAACAGTGAAAGTTAGTGATAGAATCATGCAAATTATGTTAATATTTAATGGTAAATGAGTCGAAAACATTTTTAAGGGACATATATGAGAAAATAGTTGCGATTATGCGTATGCAAAAATTACCTCAATTACGGAAACAGTGACAGTAAGGGTTAAATCGGCAATTGTCATATTCTTTCCCGCAACATACTCGTCTGTCTCGAGGAATTTGTCGAGTAGTGAAAGGGCCGTATTGACAGCCTCGTATTTGGTTTGATCCATGGGTGCCTTGGCGAAAATCGTCGGATACTGCAATAAAGATTTTTCAGTGAAAGTCAACGAAATATTCCACTCTTTTGAACGGTAGTCTTATCTCGTATTGCAAGTGAACGTCAGAAATATTGCTCAATAATGTGATGACTTACGTAACAGTCACCAAAGGCTTTGTACAAGGTGCAAGCATCAAAGAACAATCTCAGGTTAACCATCGCGCGTTTTTTGGGATCCTTTGGGTACAGTGAATCGTTCTTGCCATACTGTTCTACCAAGTACGCCATAATAGGTCGGCTATAAGAGAAAGGAAGAACCGTACAAAGATCACAATTTCTGAACTTATTAACACAAATTCCGAGCATACTGAAGTATTTAATTGTCGGTGACACGAGTATTGAATTAAAAATTCCTGAATTGATAAATGAGAAATTCCTCTATGGTCTATTAAGTCTGTTTGATCATAGAAAGTAGCCATTAGGGTGGCCAAAATGTAATTTCGGATGTCTGCACTAGACAATGCTTTGTTTTTGTTTTCATATACAAAGCATTGCACTTAAGTAATAAAATATCAGGTCATCCTATAAGTAATGGGATTTTTTTATGTTTGTAGAAGATTAAGTACAATACAATAATTAAAACTATTAATCTTCTACCTCTATATATTTTCCCTATTTTTTACATTTCGCCATCTTCCATATCTACTTCTCAATACCTAGTTCCAGTTTTCCTTCCACAAACATGAAAGAAAATTCGTATTACTTATGAGATGATCTGACATGTACATATTCTGAAAGTTAACACTTCAACGCGTGGTTGAAAGTAAAATGATTACAATTGCATTAAATTTTCTTGAATTGACCATTTTTTGAAAAAGAGTGTTGAGAAGACGATGGTCTGGATGATAACAAAGCAAATTTCCTATGTATATGGTGATGGTGGCGTAAACGAACGAAAATAAACAAAGTATAACTGCTCGAAATTGAACCTTTTCGTCAGTTATGTTTAAAACATGGTCAATTCAAGAAAATTGAACCTAATAGTAATGATTTCTTTTAAACGACGCATTAAAGTGTCAGCACTCAGAATATGTACATATTTTATTAATTACGAGCAGTGTTGCGACCCATCGCAGGTAAGCGATTGCCTTTCGATAGCTTGTCAAAAACAGAGTTTGTACCCAGTTTCAACCCCCCATCTGGACCAGGATAGCAGTAATAGGTAAAATCCGATTGTCGGTTTATCTATCATTTTTCCTGCTTAATGGCTTGCAAAATGTCTGTAAAAAATCCGATAAATAGTATCTACCGGGGCATACGTTCGACAATTTTCAGTGATTTTATATTTGAATAATCAAGTTGTAAAAAAATGAAAACACTGAAAAGTTATGAAAAGCTTTTTTTTGTTGAAGTTTTAAAGGCACCACATTTATCCTTTCACAGTAGCGACATAGCATAAGTAGTGTCCCCAGTTTTTTGAAGATTTTTCAGTAGGGTGCGCCGTAGTTTCAAAAATCAAAAACCGTTTCTGTCGAAGTCGTTTCCGTGAAAAAATAACCTATACTTTGAATTTTTATATTACCTTTATTGAGTAAGTATATCATACTATTTTAAATATTTCCATATCCAGTAAAACAGTATATGAATTGTAGAAATCGTGTCAACTGTTTGTTTTGTTTGTTACAGTAATTATACACTACTGTTTTGAGAAAAGCAGTTATTGTGCATTGGTTTTTTGCCCGCTCGCATCTTGCGAGTTGCGTGACGTACGTGGTCCGCAATCGGGAAACCGTCCTAAATTGTCATTGGTCCTAACATATTCCCACCTAAAGTTTTACTACGGAGTTTTGGGGGTAGAAGAAGCTCCTTAGGAAAAATCACAGACAGAATCTCGTGACATTCAGTGACAGTGAAACATGTATTCGTCGCATGAATATTTTGGTATTTTTCTTAATGTAGGAACAACACATTCCTTTATAACAATCAATTAACGTAGGAACAACACATTCCTCTATAATAATAAATTAACGTAGGAGCAATACGATAAATAACAAAACTATTTAAAGTAAATAATATGATTCTGACAAGTGGACAGTGTTAGTGATCGTACAGTGAAACAAACACCGTCAGTGCGTTGACCCGACCGCACTTGTCATTACGTCTTTCGGTGGTGCCGTATACCTACGATCAGCTGTGTCAGAAATCACTTGGGTCATCAACAGCCCGGATCGACACAGTGACCTACTGACATATGTTTTCACGCAGCAATTAAACTTCCTGGTGAAAGGGTTGACATTCTTTCAAAACTTCAAAGAGTGTTAAGTGGTCAGTGTTAGTGACTGTGTAATGACGTGACTACTTAGTGCGTTGACTCGACCGCACTTGTCAATACGGTTTTCGGTGGTGCCGTGTACCTGCGACCAGTTATGCACTAGCTCTCACCAACCATAAACCATTTCGTCCGTTGATGAGCAGGATCGGTACGGCGACCTACTGACACAGGTCTACAAGCTGCAGGTGAATTTCCGAAAGGGTGAGTTCTATTCAATTTATTCTTGATTATTATTTTTTTAATTTAACGCAACCTATAACTTTTTCACGGCAATAATTCTGCAAGTTTCCGTACGTACATTTTTCTTCGGGTTTCTTAAAGACAATTATTTGTAATCAGTATCACTGTAGCTCGTTAATGAACTACGCATTTTTATGTCAATAACGAACTACGATCACTATTACATTACCTTTTCGTTAATACGTTATTTCAGAAGGAAAGTTACAATTTAAAATAATTGTGTATACGTCGTTTTACGTTACACATGATTTTCTTACATTTATGTTTCATTCATTCATCACTTTAAATGACAAACGAAAGATGATAAAAAGTTCGATTTGTTATGTTTTTCTTATTTGGTATTATACGCGGTTTCCTGGGACGCATGCCAACTTACTTGTTCGGAGCGTCATAGTACAAGCGCAACGCGTACCCACCGCTAGCGCGGGAACTCGGCCGGCAAACTCGCGCTCTGATTGGTCCGGGTTTTTCGTTAATATCTCGTTAACAAAGCCGCAGCTAACATTTTCGCTAAGGAAAAAGTGGTTTCAAATCACCCCAGCAACCCCTCATTTCCCGGAAGAGAGACACTTTTAAGACACCCTGCATGGACAACTAAAGACAAAATATTCATCTAAATTTTTTTCGATATCTTTTGAAGTTTACGAGTTACAAGCGAATAAATAAAAGGGACACACTTGGGGGGTGTAACACTTCGCGAACATTCTGTTAGTAAACTAGAAAAAGTATTGCCCCACAATCCATCCTGATTTATTTATTTATCTAATGTTTAAATTGTTTCGAGCAGGCTATATTTTACAAATAGACGAATGTCACTTTCGTTGATGAACTATTTTGTACCATGAGTAATAACGACTAAACAATTAAAATAATTTTTTTGTATCTAATATCATTTCCGTATTATTAATGATTCCGTAAAATTAATGATAAATTATCTTTCAACGATCATGGTTGCCATTCTCCCTTATACATTCACTCAACAATTCTTTCATGAAAGTAGAAGCTATCATCGAAGTATATTTTTAAATAATTACATTTTCAAATTTACCGCATCGTCAACAAAACATGACAAAGAGTGTGAATATTTTCCCAAATTATTTCCCTATTAGTGAAATTATTTCTCCACAATTGTGCAACTAAATGTTAACTTTGAAATAGTCTTACCTCTCCCACAGAATAAAACCATTGTCGTTGATCGTAGGAACCGTGTGCTGTGGATTCATCTATGCATAAAGAAACATTAATAACACCAATTTCGATTACATTATGGCAGCCGGTAATTTCTTTTGTTGCAGTATTCGTACCTTCAGGAATTCAGGTTTCATCTGTTCTCCGTTCCTCAAGTCTACAGGTTTGGCATTCAATGAAACTCCAACAGCGGCGGCTGTCAGAGCAACGGCGTGGCACGGAGCGCTTCCGGGAATATGATAAAAATCGATCGGCATGGCTTCTGCAACAACACGGGATACTTATATTGTCAAGAATTTTCCCAGGAAATATCGAATGCATTGGCAATGGTTAGGCTGCGGACCTTTAAGGAAGTATCAATCTTTAGTGATACATTTGTAAAAATTAACAATGTAGAAACTTCTTTACTGCATGGAAGATTTTACCTGGTCCCAGATATGATGAAAACCGTAATAAAATATATCGAGCTTCTTTAGGTACTAAATTTCAGACGATCGGGTATAGACTCTCGATTATCGGAACGCTGTTTATCTGAACGTCGCTTAATGAAACGTTTCATTATCCAAACTTCTGTGGATGGCAGACACACGTTTCAAACGGATTGTTGTTAACATTGTATACACATGTGAATATTGTATAATAAATAGTCTTTCTTTGTTTTCACCAGTTTGCATAATCGCGGTCTTACTTTACATTATGAATGCATAGAATCACTAAATACAGTAGGAAACACAAGTTTAAGAGCCAAAGGAATAAAGAGTTAAATTCTTTTGGTTACATGGTAAACACAAAGTATATGGGAAAATAGTATTTACATGAAATATGTATAATACGAGTCCGCGTTTACTTTAATAGCAGGTGTCTACAGATAGAGATGTGGAGATTAGCAGAGTCGAATATTTTACACGATTGTTGAATAATCATGAAATGTATAATACTTTAACCATGTACAGGGGCCTCGCGATTACTGATTCTTTGTTGATATGAGTTTATCTGGTAGGTAGGATTTCAAGGAACTCGGTTATATTTTTTCAAATTTATAGACACCCGCCCCTCCAGGAGAAATTTGCAAATACAAAATTTTTTAATAATTTTCCACATTATAAAAGTGAAGCTTCAACTTAAAAAATTATTTAAATGAACCAAACCTTCCAGATTAAAATAAAGGAATAAGGGATGAATACGATAAATAGTTTACGAGATGAAAATTCATAAGTATACCTTGGTTTCACTAAACCTGGCGAAAATTGCAAACTTTGACCGCCTGTTTTTTTTTAAACAAATGCGGTACCAGTAAAATTGTGACTTAAACTCCCCCTAATTTTATATGGACTCCATTATATTTAATATGGATCTCAATTTTATATGGACTCTATTAAAAAGTGATCGAGTGCAGTGAGGTTTTTTTTGCCGGTAGGCTTACATTTGTAAAGAAAAAATGGAAAACACTTACCTCAGATGACACAGTACTATCATGGGTAAGTGGTTATCAAATTCCTTTTGAAACTCGTCCTCATCAAGACAAGAAATTTAAGGAAACTCATTAGTCAAATACAGGAAGATATGAAATCGCATAATGCACATCATTAAACGATTAAAAATAAAGTAATTTTGAAATATGGATATTTATTGTATAATACAGGGACCTCGCGATTATTCACTGATTTTTGATCCACGATTATTGTCCACACGATCATTCCCACCACTGGGGGAGGCCGTGGAACTCGGGAACCGCATACTTTGTTGCCGCAGCGCGCCGAGGTGACTCTCCCGTTCACAAGCCGACGACTCAACGTTGGCGGCCCACAAAAAGGCCACATTCCCGGGTGTCGGCGAGACAATACTAATGCGATGGTAAAACTTTTTTATTTTTGGTTTTTCATTAGTGAAACTTTTATGAACATATTGGTGAGATTTTTCTGATTAAAATGATACCAAACACGACACAATTTGTTGTTTACTTATGATTTATCAGAAGCCCATACTGAACGAATATGAACTATTAACACTTTCTACATGAGTAAATATGATCCAAATTATGTCGTGTTTGATGTCATTTCGATCAGAAAAATCTCACCAATATACTAGTAAAAGTTTCATTAACATCGAATCAAAAATAAAAAAGTTTCATCGTTGCATTAACGTTGTCTCGCCGATACCCGGGAACGTAATCTTTTTTTGGCTCGTGAATGGAAAGTCGTCTCAACAATGTATGCGTTCGAAGGACTCGACGGCCGGAGCGGGAGAATATACGACGATTAGTCGAAGCGTTTAATTGTCAGCGACTGCCCAGAGAGCTCTGCCGACGAATAAAATGTAGCTGGATCACTTCCAGTCCCACATATTTTTATTATTGGCCGAAACGGTCCATACACAATCGGACTGTGTGGTCAGCTATAATGTATCCATTGGTCGACGAGACCGTCGCAGGCGGGCCACGTAGCCGAGTCGAGTAGGAAACGAAACTCTCTCTCTGTTTCTCACTGGCTTGTCCGTTTCTATGTTCGGAACACTACAATGGCGAGTTGCCGAGGCTCGAAATTTGGGCAAAAAACGTATTCACGACGGTCAGAAGCGTTTCGCGTAGTCCACGATTATCGTCCCCTCGCGGACCCGAGTTAGGGACCATAATCGCGAGACCCCTGTATTATATAAACCTCTAATGGTGCACAGCAATGAAAATAAATAAATAAATATATTTTTTGTAAATAATTGTGTTATTTACAATAACATTGTACATCAAATTTGAACTTTTTCCTTACCTCATAATCGTTAATAGGCGTTTCTGATGTGACTTTATAAGCTGAATACGAATCCCAAACCGTTCTTTTCCAGCACGTCCAATTTTCGAAAAAATCAATTCTAAAAAGCGTACTTACAAATTTTCAACTTTGGAGACGCGTTGTGCTTTTGCAGTAATACTTATTCAGATACTTTTTACACGAAATCATTCTCTGTATTCTTGGCAACAAAATAATATAAATTGTTATTATATTATAGACATGTAAATATGTTTAAATAAAGATCAAAGTGAAAAGGACACTGAAAATGCACCAATTTTTGCTGAAATTCTTTAATTTATTTCAGAAACTAAGAGTCTAAGAGAAAATGTAACCATAACATGTGATAGAGCAAACCTTTCTGTTAAGGGACATGTTCAGGAAAGTTACAAAACTACTTTGTTTTCAGTAAAGAGGCGAAATAGTTCAGCAAAATACGCAGAGGCAGCAGTTGTACTCAATGGCGGCGGTTGCCTTGCCTGACGCTCAGTTTAACTCTGTGCACTCCGATGTCGCCGCTGTTGCATACATAGTATGTTTACATACATTGTAAGATAACCTATAACTCTGCTGTCGCTACTGTGGCGATATTGTAAGATAGCCTATAACGCCGCTATTGAATCTGGCACTGATGATAACGCTAGCATCTCCACGGAAGAAGATAATTGGGTCAGTATTACAGAGAATGAGCTTCTAAGAGTAAATTTTGTTTTTTTTAATGGCAAAGCAAGATTTTCAATCTTTCATAGAGGCGCGCTCGCGCCAACGTAAAATAGTCCCGGAGTAGCTCGTTGCTCATACTAAAAATAAATCGGAGTTGCTGGTAGGTCATATTAAAAATTTCTCGGAGTGCAAAGGGTTAACAGAAGCGCTAAATGCGCACAGGCAAAGCAACCGCCGTCATTGAGTATCATTGCCGTCATCGCGTATTCTGCTGAACTATTTCGCTGCTCTAATGAAAACAGAATAGATTTTGCAACTTTCCTTCACATATTTCTAGGCAGAAAGTTCTGCTCTATAGCATGCTATAGCTAACTTCTCTGCTAGACCCATAATTTTTTAAATAACTTGAAATATATCAGCAAAAATTGGTGCGTTATTTCGGTGTCCTTTTAAATTTGATCATTATTTAAACCTATTTAGATGTCTATAATACAATATAAATTTACATCATTTTGTTCGGGAGAATGCAGAGATTTTTTCCTGTCAAAAGCATCTGAATAACTATTATTGTAAAAGCACACCGCGTCTCCAAAGTTGATAACTTTCGATTCTTTTTTAATTGCTTTTTTCAAAAACTGAACGCGATAGAAAGTAACGATTCGCAGATCCGTATTCAGCTCATAAAGGTCTACCAGAAACGCCTATTGACGGTTATGAAGTATTTTACGCGTTGAACAGTGCACTTGAACGTTGAATTTATATTTAATATATACTTATATTTTTATTTTCCTGAACATGATTATTGTATTAATAAGATATTAATCATGACGCTATTTATTCAAATGCAATGAATATTTTACAAAGTTCTAAATAATTCAGTGAACGAATATAAATACAGGGCCCTCCCTCCCCCCCCCCCCGCCCCTGGACGGAAAAAGTGGATTTTGCATTACTTGAGAAGAAAAAAATTGGACTTTGCCCTCACTTCCTTTACGGAGGAAAAAATTACATTGCCTCCCTTTGACTGATGACCTGGCTACGCCTATGAACAGCACTAATGTTTAGTTCTAAAAGAGCAGCAGCCTCTTAGGATAAGATGATGAAGGAATAAAGCGTTTTGAAGCATTACCTCGTCATTTCAAATCACTAACTTAATGAATCGATTCAATTGTTAATGAAATGTGATGCAATAATTCCATATTATGTAATGGCATTGAATTATTATTATTATTATTATTATTATTATTATTAATATTATTATTATTATTATTACTAATATTATTATTATTATCATTATTATTATTATAATAAATTGGCTTCCTCATCTTAAAATTATGACCGTTAGTGCATGACAAATGAAAACTTCTTCGCCAGAAGCCGGTTGAGCTTCCAATATTAATTGCTTTGATTTTAAGATTTGTAACCTGACGTGTTTCTAAGAACAATAAGAGAGTCTATGAAATAATTGATGACGGTCATAGTTTGTTTCATCTCATTCTACATTAACTTTCAACCAAACAAGAGAAACGTGGCCAATAGCTACAGTATGAATGCATACACGCGTGATTACGTCGCGATAGCAACAGTTACTATTGAGTGTGTCAAGTTTGTAAACATTACATAAAAATGAGTGTGTTAAGGTTATAAACATTACGTGCTACAGTGTATGATATTAAACGCCAGCTATATGTCAGCTACATGCATTAGCGGTATTTCATTACTAGTAGATCCAAATTGAAGTAGGTCAATATATACAACAACCTTACCATACAGGTGGCGTACAATAAGTGTTGGAACCAAGGAGAAGATAGTTCAACACAAAATTATGAATGAATAAAATACCGGTCTATTTTTTTTTCTTTCAAAGTTTTATTGTCAACAGACATGATTTCATCGCTCATGTTATCTCAAAAGAAAGTAATACTTTAATACGCACGTAAATGTGTACGTATCTACAAAAATTATTTCGTTCTAAAAAAGAAAGAAAACATTTTACTCAATGTTCCAGACTTATCTGTACGCGCAGATTCACCTAATCCACAATTTTAGTTCTCATTACATGACACCTTGTATTTTTCAATACGGATCCATATGAAAGCTTGAACATTACCGATTTCTACATAAGTGGCACTATGGAGCAAGTCGATAACCGCGGTACCAAACAACATGTCAAAAATAATTAGTTCTTCGTAATTTCTCGTTATCTGAACAGAATGTCGATCTAAGAGAGCCACGCACACCGGTGAAGACAACGCTCGCGTGCCATCGATAGATGCATTTTAGCGTGAACTGTACAACGGCGAACTGACGAAATACCGAATTACAGTCTGTAAAAATTCGAGAATGCACACAAGATGATTTACGATAGCCGACAGAACGTGATGGAAATATGGTTACGTACTGTTTAGATCCGGCACAACAACGGAATAATCGTGAACTGTCTGACGAAGTTAGACCTCGAGTCTTGTCTATAAATGCTACGGTAGGCTGTACACAACCTGCTTTTCAAACGGCTGGGATAAACGTCACCGCGCAGGCCCGACAGATTAAAATCTGTTATCGCTGTACAGGCGTCGCTTCCTTCAATTCTCCGTGCTTGATTCTGTCAAATCATTCCATCCTAGAAAATGTTGGGCTGAGTCATCCACGATTGAAACACTACCGGGCCGCACACCTTTCTAAATTTGTTTCGTGTAATACGGATGTTAATGCGTGTAGAGAATTGATTCATTGGTTCCGTGTTTCAAAAATTTCCATATTTTTGGTAATATTATCAGAATCAGAGAAAAAGTTTAATTCTATTCTTTTGCAGCAGAACGACGATTATTTGTACCAATAGGGAGATAAATCAGTTCTGATATACGATGTTTCGGATATTATAATTGGTCCAGGAGAACAAAAGTTGCAAATATATATCGTAAAACGATTAGAAATTGTTGGTACTCGCGATTGATGTTTATTATGTAGAAGCATATGTGATAAACTTAATAGAAAAAGCAAGCTAAACATTCTCAAATACAGCTAGCTTCCGTATTTCACCTAAAATAAATATTTGAATAAGATCTATGCATTTCTTTTTGTGTTTGCGTCAGTCTTACTGCAATTAATACTATGCAATAATAATTATACTGGTATTATAAAATGTATTTGTAGCTTTGCTATGCAATTAAATAGTACTCGTGTGCGTGATATTGCTTCATCGATGTCATTCTTTTCTTTAACAAAAATGGATGAAAAAATATCATCGTCCAAAGCACTGTTCAACAAATTAAAACTCTGTGTGTGTGTACTAGCGGGGGTAGGTTAAGAGAGCGAAATTTTGTAAATGCAGGATACGTAGATTAAGTCTAGAAGTAAGAGACGAGAGGTAAAAGAATTGTAACCCTTAGGGGAACAATAAATTCATATACTAGTAAACGTTTCATTAACAACGAATCAAAAATAAAAAGGTTCATTGTTGCATGAGCATTGTCTCGCGCCCCGGGCAACAATGTATGCGCTCAATTGACTCGACGGACGGAGCGGGGAAATGTACGACGATTAGTCGAAGCGTTCAATCGTCAGCGACTGCCTAGACAGCTGCCGATAAATTAAATATAGCTGGATCACCTCCATTTTAGTTCTCGTTACATGACACCTTGTATTTTTCAATACGGATCCATATGAAAGCTTGAACATTACCGATTTCTACATAAGTGGCACTATGGAGCAAGTCAATAACCGCGGTACCAAACAATATGTCAAAACTAATTAGTTCCTCGTAATTTTGCGACTCTACAAATTTTTTTTTCACATTTGTTATCTAAATAGGGAACATCGAATAAAAATTCGAGAATGCAAACAAGAATGCGCAGGTCCGACAGATTACATTCTGTTATCGTTGCATAGGTGTCGCTTCCTTCAATTCTCCGTGGTTGATTCTGTCAAATCATTCCATCCTTGAAAATATTGGGTTGAGTCATCCATGATTAAAACACTACAGGGCTGCACACCTTTCGAAATTTGTTTCGTGCTAGAATAAGTTCAGAAACGATTAGACATGCAGCGTGATGCAGCGATACGAAAATTGCAACTTTGCATTGGCGTAAACGGTCACCACTTCGAGCATCTCCTGTAATGTAAGAAAGTTTATATTAACCACATTTGACCTTGCATGACCTTCAATGATAGCTCGCTGAAGTCGTCTCAACACAGGTTATCACATTGCGATAAAAGAAACATAGTATTCCATTAAAAAAAATAGAGATGACCTTGAAATCGCCTCTATGCCTTCACCCATGCAGAAAATGTTTGTGTCACAATATGCCCCCCTCTATACCGTGTAAGTTTTGTATATAACATTTTTTCATATTATTACAAATAACGGCAATATTCGAAGTGAATATGATTATTGCCCCACCCTGTATACAATATATGAAGTATATAACTAAATATCTATAAATAATATAAATTGAATACCTAAACATGTAGTAATGGTGATTGTGTAGAATTTGACAAAACGGACTTTTGGCCAGCTAAATTGAGCAAATAACTTACCCACATCGAAGCTCGGCATCGTCAAGAGAAGCTAGAGTTGCTCGGGGTAAAGGAAAGAGCGAATTGAAAGCCGAATATGAAGTTATGGTAGGGTTGTCGTATAGCGCAGGAATAGCTGATTGAAAACAGGACGCTTGTAATTGTCTTACATATGTATCAATAACTTGAGCACGAAAAGAACAATTTCATATACGTTTTCTTCAAGACGGTTTTTTTTCACGGGTGCTACTATAATAAGTTAATTATAACTGACTTCAGAAATTCTTGCAGTTTCATTTAAGATTTTACGTACGAAAACTTGTGTTTACTTTCCTGAATTTTTTTCTTCTCATTTGATACTTCTGTTCTCCCAAATTTTAACAGAAGTAAATTTTTCATTAAAATTCTAATCTTTTCATCGTTGCATAATCTTAAATACTCGTTCCCGAGTCATTATTTTAAATCCTGATTGCCCGGAAACTAGAACTATAACTTTTGAATCAGGTATAAACATTCCTAAGAGAATGTCATCTTCAACTAGAAAAAAAAGAAACTTATTTTGTCTACATCATGCAATACCGCACGGTTTGCGCAACTAGTTTTGTGCTATTATAAAGCCAAAACCTTCCTCTTTATAGTAATTAAAAAATAATTATTGTGACGCACCCTGAAGTATATTTCATATATTTCATAAATATCATAAAACATATTTCTTCGAATGGCATGGCTATCGAGGTTAAACCTGACGAAAAAGTCACTTTTTTCAAATCACAATATATAATACATATATAATTACATTTTTCACAAATACACTCACTTTGATGCTTCAAAATAATATTTTGTTTTTACACGATAGATACGTCCTGGAAGAATGTGTACGAAAAAAGTTCAAGTAAAAGAATATACTTACTGTATTTATAGAAAAATAGAAGATTGGTTTCACACCTAAAAAATCAGCGACAATAATACAATAAACCATATTGTTTATGTTGCAAGTTTATCGCGGGCCGCGTCGATCATTGGATTGAAAAGACTGCCCTAGGATAGCTAGTTCTATCCTGAAAAGGATACGGAGTTGCAGCGAAAAAACACACCAGAGTTTGGCCGGAATTGTTTATTGTTGAGAGTCTTAACAATGTCGCACGAAAACACGATTACACTCGGTGGGCACTGGAGAGCCTCGAAGTGATGATCGAGAGTGCCGTCTACGAAAAATCTAGGCGATCACGAAAATCGTTTACACTAATCGCCGATTTTCGCCACAATTGTACTCGAGCGTCGAGAGCGATAAACATAACACTTGTGGTGTTGCGAGAATTAACGCACGAGTTGAAGAATGAGAAGTTTGTTAAGATCTGCGATTACTACAAACGTTCACGACAGAATGTTCGGCGAGCAGCAAAGTTACTACTGGTTTTAGTTCAAAATTCGATAGGATTTTTCATTAGATCACCGCAAAACTATCGATAGATGATCGATATTTTAAAAGGAGTTGTGCAGATTCCATAAATACGCTACCGCACGCGCTCAAGCGTACCACGATCGCGAAATTCAGGGATGAAACTAGCAAATCGGCGTTGGGCGCACGCAATCGTTGGCAGGCTCGCAGTATAGTGCGAGAGCGCCCTGTCCTATTTACTTTTGACGAGCGCGTCTCTTAGATTTTCATTCCAAAACATACCGCCAGCCTCGGATCTTTAGATCCGATGAATCAAAGTAAACTATATATTTACATTTCTACACACTACTATATACATCTCTTAAAAGCTAATATACATTTACGATAAATAATTGATAATGCTAGGGACCGCTCGCCTTGCGGAATTCTATTTACATAAAGTACGCTTTTCACCGCCTGCCGTCGACGCGATTCTCTCTTCTTGATTGTTAAGATCCATTGGTAAGAAGCAAAGTTTCGTAATCGGTCGTTTGTACTCGCTGTGTGCCGTTTTGACGGCGACGACACGCGATAAACCATCGGAACCGAGATGACACTGTACGATTCTTCCTAATTCCCATTTACAGGGTGGCGCTAACGGGTTTCGAAGTAACACTATACGACCTGGTTGAGCGAGATTGGTAGCGACACGCCATTTCGGTCGCTGTTGTAATGTGTGAAGGTAATCGTTTGACCACGCTTGCCAGAAACTTTCGAACAATTGGCGCAAACGTTGCCATCTCGATAAGCGGGATTCGCGAATATCACGTAACGTAGCTGCCGGAACGGCAGTGAGCGCTGAGCCGATGAGGAAGTGACCGGGTGTAAGAACGGAATAGTCGTCAAAATTATCAGATGCAGGGGCGATCGGACGGGAGTTTAAACACGCTTCAATTTGACACAGTACGGTGGGAAATTCTTCGTATATCAACGTGTACCTGTACCCTAATACCTGCTTCCCAGAGTCCGCCGAAATGTGGGGCTGTGTGTGGAATGAAAATCCACGAAATCCTATCCATCGCAAGTTTATTAAGGAGATCGGGATCACGAGTAGCGGATTTAAACGACCGGTCTAGTTTTGTTCAAAAAGGTGTTATTGAACAAGCTAGTGGACTGTAATTTGGAAAATCCACTTGATGCTAGTCACGATGGCGTTGTAATGAGTGCGGACAATGAAGTCTAACCTCTACAGAGCACGTGGTGATACTGGTGAGATAGTGAGTGTAGCCGTAGGATTTAGAACTCTCTGAGCGATTGTATTAATGGGTCAAAGTGATTTATTCACCTTACGAGTGTAACCGACTCAGAAATGCACGATGAATCTTTACGAGGAAAACTGCGTGTATCCCCGGATGAAAATGCACGTGAGTTTTACAAAGAGAATAGACCGTATCGTCGAGCGCGCACGTGGTGCCTCTTGCCGTTTGTCCTACACGCACATATCGTGAGAGATCGGGCCCAGTCGTTCACCGTCGGGACTCGATCGTGACGGCTGGCGACGGCTAATGTGTTACCAGGGAGGTGCCGCCTCCATCTGCAGCGTGCGGTCTGAATGACCGCAGAAATTCCATGTTTTCGTTGTAACGTTTGAACATAGATTCAAGTCATGTTCACAATGTGGTATCAAATGGTAGATTTTCGAACACTTTCACGTAATTTTAGAAACTGAATTTGTTATTGATACTTTACACACGGAATTTATCGATTTCTCATTACTTTGCGACTAGGCCCGCGGGATCCCGCAACCACTGCAGGTGTTGTTCAACGTGTGGCAGCGTCAACTACGGTTTCGTACTTCAATATTGCACGTTGTGTTCCCGCAAACATCCAAGGACACGCGTATTCCTCACTCTGTTAGTTTTTGCTGGATGAAATAATCGAAATAACTCGCCGAAATAATCGCAGTATCGTTCAGTCTTAGTCAATGGAAGTGCCCTGACTTCTACCACGTTCAGGATGAACGTTGACGGTTTCAGTCTTCTGCCACTACTTCACCCACTTCTTCACAAACGCCACCAACGTTTGCATGGATCGGGCTGCCGCTGCATACGAAAGTTTGGGTCCGCGAGAATGCGTGTATAAGAACTCAGCTTCGAAACGAGTAGCGTACGTTGCACTCATTGTGAAGAACTGATTTGTTTCACTATCTTTCGTTGACGACCTCCAATATTCCTGCATTGCATGTTAGCTGACACTTTTCCCCTCCTAACTCCGCCACGACTCCTGTCCTTTAAGTCCCGTTATTGAAAAAGCGTCAACACGCTTTTATTGAACATGGTGTATACCAGGGGGACGGCACTCCCATGTTAACGAATCGTACATTGTTTGTAGCGCCACCACAGTTATCTAGCGGAAGTGGTGAACTAAACTGCAATGTGGCGGTTGTTTCAAATAAAAATTGAATACTTAAAAAGTTAGTCTGGCCAAAATTTTCTCACGATTTCTCATATTGTCTAAATTCATAGAGAAAATATGAAAAATGTTTGAAATTCATAAAAAGTGAAAGAAATAATTGTATACAATGTATATGTGGTAGTAAATAAATTTATTCATGATTAAAAAAAAGAAAAAAAGAAAAATTTCTGCGTTGGGATGAACATTTATAATCCTGTTCTGCAAAGTGTCTCCAACAAACTACTTGCTTGATCAATTCTTTATGGCTCAAAGAAAGTAGTTTTTGTTTTTTGACCGCAGCAATCCATTTTTGTGCTATATCTTCCTTTTGAGGAAAATTATGCGAAGGATCTTTAGATTTAGATGGACATTGAGGAACAACACACGTGGACTAATGTTTGATGTCGCTCATTGTGGATACTACAACATAAAATTTTGTTCTATTCAATCTAAAATAACTATAAATGAAATACGTGGTTAGTTTATTAATCAAACAGTTATGATTTGGTCAAAAAAGGTTAACACTACATTTCAAACAGTTCTAAAATTAACAATTGAAAACCTTTTACGATACGTTTATCTATCACTAAAGACTACACATACCCGAGTTTCAAACAAATCTGAAATATTACTCCAACAAATGTTCGATTCCGCGTGGAATGACCCGTACTGCTTTGCAAGAAAGTCAATCATTGAATTCAATGCATATTGTATCAATTTTTTATCTAATATTAATAATCTAAGATTGTTAAACCATATTAACATAAAAGAGTTACTTGCTTGGAAATTAGTATACAATAATCAATAACTTTTTCACTTTCTTCATACTATACAAACTGCACATCAGATAACACGTGGATACACGAATAGCATCATGGCGTCGTATACACTGCCTGATACGTGGTACGCCATATTGCAGTTTAGTTCACCACTTTCGCTAGATAACTGTGGTGGCGCTACAAACACTGTACCAATCGGTCCCATAAGAATGTCCAGCCCCTGGTGTATACCTATGTTCCGAACCAGTGCAGCCAGCCAAACGTTACAACGATTATCGCCTTGGGGTAATCGATATGGTCGGCAAACTGTTATGAACAGGGATTCCTGAACAGTCGCATATCACGCGAAATATGCCTTTAAAACAGTTATTTATTACAACTCAACGTTGATTTCCAGGAATTCTAGCAACAATACATTTCAAGCCCCATTTCTTTACCATCGGCAAACATACGCACACCAATTAGAAATCCTTAGTTCCGCTATCACACGGATACATATAACTAATAAGAAATCAAACAAGACTAACAAGCGAATAGTTACAGCAATATTTACCAGAATACGTCCGTCACTCATAGAGAACGCAGTCAGCAGGAGATAAGTACAAACATCACAGAGTGTTATATTTATGAAAATCAGAAAGTGTGCTACCAAGTTGTATCCAATTGTTATCCATCCTTCATTTATATTAAATTATCGATATTAAATTATCAAACGAGTTGTATCACGTCTATGCAGTGTAAAGTGTATCGTGAGTACGATTACGATTATAATTAACTTAGATTGAACTTGTTTCGAGTCAAATGTCTCTGATGCCAAATATGTCGAGCGTATGAGGTCTATCAGAAACTTAACGGCAGTAATAGCGTAAAATTTTGTATTGTTAAGTTATCTATAAATCAACATTATCTTTTTCAAGATAATCCTTTTGGGAAGCCACAATTTGCTGGAGACATACCTACTCATTTTTTGAAACAGTGTTGGAAGTCTTCAATTGGAACTGCGTTCAGTCGGTGTGTCATAATCTATAATGGATGTTGTCTACGGTTCCAAGATGACGACCCTTGAGATAGGTACTGATTTTTGGAAAACGAAAGAAGTCACATGGACTCAAATTGTTATAAGAATGACTAATGTCAATTAATTAATAGTAGAAAAAATTATATATAGAAATGAATTTGCATACAAAACAGATTGAAAGATAGAATCAAATTTTTACGAAAATATCACAGCTTAAATTATTTTCCAATTATCAGTTCATATAAATTTATTACGAAACGTCACTGTCTTTGTTTATAAAAAATAAGAGCAATGGATAACTAGTGATAGACGGATACGTGTATTAAACAGTGTAATGAAATTTTTTATCAACCAATTAGATACGTTGTTTTATAAGGTCTTCATATTTTTACGCACAAATGTTGTTTCTAAAAATTAGAGAATATTGAATACCATCTATTATAATTCTTGTAGTCGAAACACACGTTACATCTTAACGTACACAGATAATCTAATTACTAGACTAATTACTAATGATATGTTAATAATTATTTACTAGTCTAATTACTAGATGCTACTTAGAAGATACTAAATTCGATTTTACACGAGATTTCCTTGTTGAATAAATTACAAGTGACACGTTTAATCTATGATCACCGGTGCACTGTTATCGATTCTATCGTTTTACAATCGCCGTGGTATCGATGTTAAGTGGATTCCTGTAAATTTGCCCGATACATCTGAGTAAACATTTTCGTTCCTTCAGCGTGCACCTCTTCGAACCCGAATTTATCTAGAAGTTCCTTGCAACGATTGTACCACGCTGCTATGTTATCATACCTGCCGATGTCGAACCCAAAACACTGTGAAACAGGAATATTACTTTTTTGTTGAGAATGTTCTATCGTTTATACATAATACATATATAATATATTACAAAGGAATGCTGATTAAAAGCGATAAAATAAAACTGATGTTTACCGTAAAATTATGTACGAGTAATTGAATAACGTGAGGTTTAGCTATTGTCGAAAAAAGGAGTTATTTTTAAATTATTTATTTGTTAAGATACACTACTGGAAAGAAGTAGAGGATCAGGTATATTAATCAATTATTGTCGATAGATGCTTTAAATTCTTGAGTTGCGTAAATGAATAGCGAAAATATTATTATATTAACTTTTAACTTGTTAGGTAGGGTATGAGGGACCCTATCAATATTTTTTACTCAATAATTACTTAAAGAGATACTTGTTTATTTCAATGTCCACTTGACCAGTTAAGGGTTAAATATAAAATATGTACTGTTTTCTTTGTGAACAGGATTCAGTCCTCTTTAACAGTTCTACAATATAAATATTTCTGTAAAATCGAAAGCTAAAATGGACAAAGAAATAATAAATCGTGATATTTTTGAAATTCATGTTATTACAAAGAATGATTCTTTAATGCTCTATAATCATTTTATACGTCGACTCATAATGGTTTTCCTTAGATAGTAATTGAAATACCTAGTGACACCTCTGCGGATTTTATGCACTCGTAATACCTACAATTGTCTAGTAAAAAATTGTAATACAAATAAAATAGAAAGTTTAATAAAATGAGGTCTTTATTTTATTTTGATCTCAATAGGACCCTTAAGAGAATGCGCAAACTTTGGTTTAATTCCAGAGTCTGTAATTGAATCCGTAAAAACCCACATTTGCATAATGGTTCACAGTTTAGTCAAGACCTATACTATTTTTCCGCCTGTCATACTTTAATTTTCGCTCGACGAAGAGGAAGTTCATTCGGCTGACACAGTAGTTTGCATAACATAGTATTTATATAAAGTAATATATATATATTTAAAAATATATTCGCAATGTTTATCGAACATGAAACTTATAATTTGAACATCATTTCTACAAAAGAGTTTCTGTTCACTTGTACTGTAGTATTTTAGCATCCCTTTTGTATACTCTAATATTTTCGTATTCTTTATTTAAACAGTTTTAATGAGAGATGAAAGATGAGAGTGTTGTCAAAAGTATAGTTTCACTATATGTGTAACTATAACATTTCTGTAATGTCATCAAATGGACTATATCTATCACTAGTTAGACGATCCGCCGACCGAATGTTAATATTGTTTAATGTGAAACGACAACAGAAATGGATTTACATAAGAAGAATATATGTTTCCATTAAAGAAAGACACAACTACACATTCTAGATGTACTGATGCATTTGTAGAAAATATTTTATCAAAACATAATTAATTTCTTTAAACCATTCAAATCTGTTTGCTCTAATATTGTTTGCATGTGAATTATCATGCATATGCATAGTAACTATGTTTCTTTACGCTTTATACATACTGAAGTATTTTACGTTTTCAGAAGTAATGTGACCATGCACAATCGTGACTAAGGTGAACAGAACCTTTTTTAATAAAGACAGACAGCGTGAATTAGTCTAAATCGTATATGATCTCACACTGCTTATCGGAGAAGAAAATAAACGGAAATATGAATGGATTAACTACACGCTTACACTTTTACCCGTCTCTGTATTCTTGCCTAATGAGGGTGTTCAAGGTGTAATTAGTCTATATTAGCGACAATTTATAAAATGATTATTCAAGTAACAGAATCAACAAGCAGGTCATATTATTTTCAATAATGTCTACGTAAATTACTTGTTTATCACAGTATTGTGAAATACTGTTATATAGGGCGAGTCATTTAAATCGATTTCCTCGAATATCTTCGAAACCGTTGATGATACCGAAAAGTATTTCAGATAAAAGTATAATGGTTTTGAGAGGAAAAACATAAATTGATGCGAGTAGTTCTTTTGTAGTTCGATGCGTAGCGAACATATGATGGTTAAATTATCCACCACCCCCCCCCCTCCACCCGAAAACATTCAATTTTTATTAGAAATATCTTTCGGTATCATCAACGGTTTCAAAGATATTCGAGGGGATTTATTTAAATGACTTACCTTGTATATTAAATATATCAATCAGCAATCCCTTAAACCGTAATAAGATTAATAGCGTAAGGTGTTAGATAACAACGAGGAATCTCTTGATTTTCTCAAAAGAAATATTAAATTTAGTAATCTAAATTGAAATGATTTCTCAAAAATTGTATAAAAATAATAAAATAATATTTTATGGATTATTAAACTGTAAGTACTTTTATAACTATAATTTGTGATGTATAATATGTAATCATAAAGTATTATTCCAGAAATATTCACTGATAAACTGTTATACGCTCTATTTATTATTTCCTAAAGATTTCATTTTTTAATTCATAGAAAGAACATAGTTCTTAATACGTATACACATAGAAAACTATATCAAAGACGAGTAATATGAATCTAATTATTTCAAATTTATATAAAACAGGAATCGTAAGTTTGCCTCGAACAGTTTTTTTATTCGTTGTCGATAATCATCTGCATTAAAGAAACAACTCAAAAAGGAAGATCGTTCGTAATCTACTACTGGCACAGTATATTCCACCCTCTCTCGTCATAAAGGTAGAAAAGCTACTCTGAGTACCTTTTTTTACCATCAAGTGTGTCGATATTGTAACCGTACTTTTGCTAACTTTAATATTTTAAGAAAAGATTTATTGATTTTCTACTCCGCCAGATCTGAGGGCGGTTACTCTACTTCCAACCTCAATGTGTCTGATCTGAATCGCGTAGGAAGACAGGATTCGTGCCTTCGGGCACAGAAGGACCACGAGTGGAATAGGTTCTTGTCAGAGAACGGCAAACAATTCTGGTAAAAGTATGGTATATTCTAAGATGCCCTTGATACACGTGGTTTTATATCGTTTCGCGACACGTTTCGGAATCTCGCGTACTCAACAAATACACACTATTGGCACACTCGTTCGACGTGCAATACACGCGTTCACTGTTATATTTCTGGGAACTGCTCGTTTCGCGAACCTATCTAGAGATGCCTTAAAATCTGTCGCAGCAGCCGATGATTCTGCCGATAACTCGCGAGAACTTCTTGGGTGGAGACACGTACAGAGTCTTAGTCAATCCCCAGTTCAAAAGATACAAGTGAGAGATACGCGTACGTGGTCCCAACACTTGTTTCCAGAACCGAAAGAGAAACTTAGATCCTGCTTAACCTATAGACATATACATAGACGGATGTATAGACGGAACATAAGCTACCACTTTTGGCGAGGGGACCGTAGGATTGGAGGGCAAAGGCAGCGGTCGTTAGATATACGTCGGTTAGCTTCGGATGCATTCGGTTCGATTCGGCTCGTTATTAATGGCTGGTGGGCTGTGTGCCGTACTATTATTTAATGCTTTATACTATTTATTAATTTTGTTAAATACATATATCTATACAAACTACATGACGTACGGAATTTTTAACGTATAATAAGTATATTCTTTTCATCTCTCATAGAATACATTTATGTAACGTGATTGTATACCCGAATAGCACCGAAAAGGAACGAAGTTACCCGATTTATAACTAACCACCCCCTTACCGCGAATCTTACTCCCCCTCTCAGTTCATGCTCCGTCTATGTATGTCTATGGCTTAACCTAGCATAGTTCTCGGAAACTACGTCCCCGATGCATATGTCTGACAACCGATGATTCTGCCGAATGCTCGGGAGAACTTTTCGGTTGGAGACGCGTACAAAACCTTAGTTAATCGGCAGTACAAAAGATACGAGGGACAGGTACGCAAGCGTGGCCCGCCACTCGTTTCCAGCACTGGTAGAGAAACTCCGATCGCACTTATGCACCTAACTAAATTCACTCGCAATGCCGACCGGAATTGCGAGAAGGAAACTGGCAGAGCAAAATATGCTGGCTGTTCAGTTCCTTCTTCGTTAGTTCGAAATTGAGAGTGATTCCCCTTACCTCGCACGGACCGGAACTATAGCAGCGGCAGCTAAATTAATACTTATAAACTAACGATAGGCGAAACTCGGTTGTGCCCAAGTCAATCCGACTTTAAATAATTTGATGTATTTATTCAGATTTTATTACACATAATTTCACTTGGAGTTATGTTGTTTATTTGTTAGCTTTGTTCAATGTCACACTCACGGTGCGTCCTCTAATACTGCCTTTGAATATATATATTTCCTTTCTTTTCAAATAAATTAATGACGAATACTTAGTTTTCGTGAGAATTTAATTTTGATTTTATATAAATTTTTGTGACTACTACGCTGGGCTTCCAGGAACCTGTTCCCGGGTTGAATCTCGTCTAGGCAGTACCAAGGTGCGCACTCGTGAGGATGATAAAGACGCTTTGCTGTGTCTCCTAGTCGATTTGACTTCACCACACGGACCGGTTTTCGCTTAACGGACTCTATTTCCTAATTGCGACTATACTGGATCGCTTCAGGGGATCGGCACTCCCGTGTTAATGAATTGATCAGTTTGTAGCGCCACCATAGTTAAAAACGGAAGTGGTGAACTAAATTGCAATATGGCGGGTGATTCAAATAAAAATTGAATACTTAAAAAGTTAGTCTGGCCAAAATAATCTCATGATTTTTCATATTGTCTAAATTCATAGAGAAAATATGAAAAATGTGTGAAATTCATACAAAGTGAAAGAAATAATTGTATACAATGTATATGTGGTAGTAAATAAATTTATTCATGATTAAAAAAAGAAAAAAAGAAAAATTTCTGCGTTGGGATGAACATTTATAATTCTGTTCTGCAACGTGTCTCTAACAAACTACTCGCTTGACCAATTCTTGATGGCTCAAAGAAAGAAATTTTTGATTTTTGACCGCAGCAACACATTTTTGTGCTATATCTTCCTTTTGAGGAAAATGATGCGAAGGATCTTTATATTTAGATGGACACTGAGGAACAACACACGTGGACTAATGTTTGATGTCGCTCATTGTGGATACTACAACATAAAATTTTGTTCTATTCAATCTAAAATAACTATAAATAAAATACGTGGTTAGTTTATTAATCAAACAGTTATGATTTGGTCAAAAAAGGTTAACACTACATTTCAAACAGTTCTAAAATTAACAATTGAAAACCTTTTACGATACGTTTATCTATCACTAAAGACTACACATACCCGAGTTTCAAACAAATCTGAAATATTACTCCAACAAATGTTCGATTCCGCGTGGAATGACCCGTACTGCTTTGCAAGAAAGTCAATCATTGAATTCAATGCATATTGTATCAATTTTTTATCTAATATTAATAATCTAAGATTGTTAAACCATATTAACATAAAAGAGTTACTTGCTTGGAAATTAGTGTACAATAATCAATAACTTTTTCACTTTCTTCATACTATACAAACTGCACATAAGATAATACGTGGATACACGAATAGCATCATGGCGTCGTATACACTGCCTGATACGTGGTACGCCATATTGCAGTTTAGTTCACCACTTCCGCTTTTTAACTATGGTAGCGCTACAAACACTGTGCCAATCGGTTCCATAAGAATGTCCAGGCTGGACAGTCCAGCCACTGGATCGCTTCCAGTCGTAGAGTGAAGATCGACGAGCTCGCATCGACCTCCTTGAATTAGCATCGAGTGGGGGTCGATGCGCGCGCTTCGGCGGTGATTAGGTGGGATATCGCGATCGCGTAGATCTTCGTTAATGATCGGGAACGCTCGTACGATGCTCGCGGATCACGTGACGACATCCGAGGTGGGAAATTCGAATTACATCGAGCTATTCTCACTCCTATCTAATCGTCTAAATGTGATGCAATTTGGACGGTTACAATATGCGTCGTACGTACCTTATTTTTCATCGATCGTTAAAAATTATACGACTCTTAAAATTATACTGTTTCTAAATACCCACCTGTAAAACGCAAATGGTCGTGCTAATGGCCAAATCGGCAATTGTCAGTGTGTCCCCAGCAACGAACTCGCTGTCTTCCAGAAAGGTGTTTAATAATTCACAGGACTTTTCCATTGCTTGCACGTCATCCTCGTTTATGAAATCCCTTCCGTAAAATATTACAGGGAACTAACATATTAACGATAAATAATCATATATTACGATATATCCAACGCAGCAACACAAATGCGTGTGTATACTATGGGTGGCCCTCCTTTTTCGCTTTCAGAATGGTTACACAACAAAAGAATACATTGCGATAAATCTGTAAAACTTGAGGGTTTCGAGATATTGACATTTCTATTCTCCCAAATGTAAATTTTTATAACTTTTTTAATGCTTTAACTTATTGAACTGATACTTTTTTTAATATTATTGCTTTGACATGGCCTTTTTGGGTGAAAATGATTTTTAACTCTCCGCGCCCTGTAACGAGGGTATAATTTTAGGAACTTTTAGAAAACAATGTTTTGTGAAGTGAAATTATTCGTTAATTACACTGTCCAACAAATTTTAACCTTAGTTCTGTTTTGCAATATCCACTGGGCGGATCTTGTAGAGTTTCTCGCCTTAAACACGAATCTGCAAGTAGAATTGCTCTATCATCCTGAATTTTCGAAAAACACGAAGTTTTGTTAAAACATACAATTCCGGGCAAACGTGGTGTCTTACGTGACAATTAAAACCGCTAGATCGTTCATTTTAGTCTTAGAAGATAAAGGAGAGTTTCCTGAATACATTAATGTATACAGTTATTAAATTCGGTAATTTTGAATGGTTGTAAATGGACGTCAAAATTTAAAAAAGAATTGCTGCGCGTACTTCTATGCAGCATGTTTGTATTTTTACGAAAAGTTCTTTATCCAGCACGAATTCGCTACACAGTATCGGATTCTGCAGACATTTCTGAACAAGAAATCATCCAGAAACAGTATGGGAAAGGTTTTGTATTCGCAGACATCGAGAAAATATCCGTTCGGAACATGTGCGCGGCGTTTTGTGACCACGTGGCTGTTACTCGCCTGCCTGACGCACCACTGACGTAGTTACGCCCACAATGACACCGATAAAACAATCTACTTGGCACTATGGTCTGTTTTTCGAAAGATGATGCCTGGGAGGTAGGCCCGAGTTTTCGCGGTGTTGCCGCGATCGCGAGACACCTACGGCACTCGTGTCTCTCTCACTCTTTGCATCTTCGCCAATGACGTGTGACCGTCGACGTGAGTCCTCGCCTACGGTCGTCTGTCTCCATCGCACGTATTACAAACCTCTTGAAAAGGACCTACCTACAATCTCAAGAAGTGGGGACTGCGTTCGGCACGCGCCCGTCAATCATTCATTGTCTGGAAATGGCGGAGAATGTTGATGAGACGCTGAACATTTTCACACGTCGAGAGTTAAAATACATGAACAAGAAAAAGTTTATTTCCTTTAAAAGAATGTATTGTACCCAAATATTGAGCAACATATTAAAAGGAGATTAAATTAATACGTAGGTTATTAAACGCTACATATGGAAATCGCAGGGTAAAGAAGGAAGTTGGTTTACCGAGCGTCTGAGCGAGAGGCTCTCGTGCTGAAGTGCTGGAGGATGGAAAGAGACACAACAGTGGCATTGAGACCGTCACAACGTCGCACGGAATACGTACCTCGCGTTGGATCCCCGCCAGGCCACGCGCCGAGGCAGGCCAACGTCCCAGGCATCATCTTTCGAAAAACAGACCATAGAGTTCTGCATTGGGCGGGCTGAGCCCGCCCGTCACCCGGCTGTTTTATCTCTACCCGAGCTGGCCCAGCCCGCGCAGGCCCGACGATGCGCGCCGCAAACCCGTCCATACCCGCCCGGATTCGTGCTAGCCCGCCCGACCCGTATAATCCCCGCTAGGCCCGCTAGGCCCGCTCAGCTCGTTCAATGCAGAACTCTAGCGGGCACTCGGGCACGGGTGGAAAGATCACACACTGCGATAACTTTGATTTCTAGATATACAGGGTGTCCCAAAAATGTCCTCCGACCCGGAAATGTGGCACTCGGGAGGTGAATTGGAACAACTTTTTCCTTAGCAAAAATTTAAACTGAGGCTTCGTTTACGAGATATTAACGAAAAACCGCGACCAATCAGAGCGCGAGTTTGCCAGCCGAGTTCCCGCGCTAGCGGTGGCTACGCGCTACGCTTGTACTACGATGCTCCGAACAAGTAGGTCACCATGCATCGCAGGAAACCGCGTATAATAATAGCAAATAAACAAGACGTAACAAATAAAATCATACTTTTTATCATTTGTCGTTTGTTATTTAAAGAGATTAATGAATGAAACGTAAATGTAGGCAAATTATGTTTAACGTAAAAAGACGAATGCACATTTACATTTTTGTAAATTCCTTTTTACGAATTTGTAAATTTCCTTTTCAAATAATGTGTGAACGAAAAGGTAATGTAACAAAGAATAATCGAGAAGTGATTGTAGTTCGGTGAAATTAATAAAACAATAATGACCAATAAACTGAATAGAACTCACCCTTACGGAAATTCACCTGCAGCGTAGAAACCTGCGTCAGTAGGTCAGTGTACCGAGCCTGGGCATCGACGGACGAAATGGTTTATGGCAGGGTAGAGTCCATGCCACTGGTGATCGCAGGTATGCGACACCAGCCGACGTTAAGAGTTGCAACGTCAAGTGCCGCCGGGTTAATCCATCGAAAATCTCGAATATCTCTGATTGGTCGCGGTTTTTCGTTAATATCTCGTAAACGAAGCCTCAGTTTACATTTTTGCTAAGGAAAAAGTTGTTCCGATTCACCTCCCGAGTGTCACATTTCCGGGTCGGAGGACATTTTTGGGACACCCTGTATATGTCCACCCGCCTGGCCCACTACGGGTTTGGGTGGGCTTGGGCGAAGCGATGAGCTACGGGTAACGGGTGGGAGGACCCGGGTTTGTCCGCTCAATGCAGAACTCTACTTGGCATCCACTTTTTATATGTATAATGTTTGATGTACAGGGTGAAAACCTCGCTGCACAAATCAAAGGACACGTGCCGCTTTTAATGAACCGCCATATCGGCGCGTGTATGTGTGGACCCGGGGCTTCCTCTCAACAGTGAGGACCAATCGACAGATTACACGTGCCGACGCGGCGGTTCTTTAGAGCGGCACAGTCTATGCCTTACACAGCGAGAGAATAATTCTGTATTTCATGCATTCTCGAATAGTAATCATGATATATGTATATAAGATGTATATACAGGGTGGGGCAATAACTACGTTCACTTTGAATATTGCCGTTATTTGTGTACGGTAATTTTATATATATGTGATATTGGTCGTTTTGTATTAATTATGAACGTCGTGTCGTTTTGTGTTCATTGCCGCCGTGAAGAGTTGAGTTGTTTATAACAAGAGGTAGTTTGTTGCAACTGTGAGAGAGACTGCGGGACAATAATTTGGTTGTGAGTGTGAGAGAGAAGAGAATGGGTTATGTCAGTGCCGATCGTATTTTTGGTAGTGTTTTTCTAGTAATAGAGACGGACGGTATAGAAAACACGGACGGCATAATTTCGACGAACTATATTAACGGATTTAATTATAATGTTTCGTATTGTATTTATAAATTACAAAGTTAAAGTATTTAATAATTTTGTTATACAGTTTCTTCATAATTCTATTACCTCTGATCCTATATTTGTAATAATATGAAAAAATGTTATATACAATACTTACACGGTATAGAGGAGGGCATATTGCGACATAAACATTTTCTGCGTGGGTAAAGGCATAGAGGAGATTTCAGGGTCATCTCTATTTTTTTTAATGGAATGCTATGTTTTTTTATCGCTATGTGATAGCCGGTGTTGAGACGACTTCACCGAGCTATCATTGAAGGTCATGCAAGGTCAAATGTGTTAGTAAAATAAATTTTCTAACATTACAGGAAATGCTCGAAGTGGTGACCGTTTGCGTCAATGCAAAGTTTCAATTTTCGTATCGCTGCATCACGTGCATGTCTTATCGTTTCTGAACTTATTCTAGCACGAAACAAATTTCGAAAGGTGTGCGGCCCTGTAGTGTTTTAATCATGGATGACTCAACCCAATATTTTCAAGGATGGAATGATTTGACAGAATGAACCACGTAGAATTGACGGAAGCGACGCCTATGCAACGATAACAGAATGTAATCTGTCGGGCCTGCGCATTCTTGTTTGCATTCTCGAATTTTTATTCGATGGCACGCGAGCGTTGTTTTCACCGGTGTGCGTGGCTCTCTTACATAAGGTGACCAACTATACTCATTTACTGAGTTTTGTACTCTTTTTTCGCAAACCGTACTCTTTTCAAATCCTGTTCTCTGAAAGTACTCATTTGTATAAAATTGTAAAAGATATTGTTATTAATGACAATTTTCTCTTTGAAGAAATTCGAAGAGTAAATTTATATTTAAATGAAGAAAAATTGAAGAAATGGAACGATGAGAAAATAGAACTTGACAAAAGATGGGTAGAAATCTTTCGGCATTTTAGAGTAGAACATTTCCCTTATGAAAATTTAAAAGTTTTAATAGAAATTTCCTTATGTTGTCCAGGCACTAATGCTGCTGTTGAAAGGGTATTTTCACTAGGGAATGATTATTGGAGCAGTGAGAAGTCGCAACTTTCTGTAAAAACATTATCTGCCGTCTTAACAGTCAAATTTAATATGCAAAATGAAAGTTGTTCGGATGTGGCTACATTATTAGACGAACATCCTCATTTAGCAAAAAAAATCCACTCCGAAGAAAAATATGTTTTTAAAAGAAAATAAAGTTTTTATCGTTTTTTCTTCTTTTTTTTCACCTATGAAATACTTGCAAAGTGTACTCTTTTTGAACAAAAAATAGTTGGTCACCTTTATATATATATATGTATCATAATAAAATGTTGCAAAAATGACGTTTACCATACCTCTGTCCTAAAACACTACAAAGTAGGTAGCTAATAACTTACGACTCGATGTGTTTTACGTCAAATATGCAAAAATAGGTATTCCTTTATAAAAGTTTTTAAAAATGTGTCCCCTCTACAAGACATGGAGAGCTAAAAATGATTGTCATTCAAGAAAAACCATGTCAAAGCACTAAGATTAAACGTAGTTCGAGATCAATAAGTTGAAGCATTAAAAACTTATAAAAAATCGGATTTGTGGAAATAAAAATCTTAATGTCAATATCTTGAAACCCTCAAGTTTTACAGGTTCGTCGCAATATACTTTTTTTTAGTAAGTGACGATCTATCAAATACCACTGGACCCGTTCGTGAACGTTAAAATTCTTATGGTACACATTTTATGTATTAGTTTATGTGAAAATTATTATATTTTTGTGGGAATACATAAATAAATTTTGCATCTGTTCTTACTACCATTCGACTATTTTACATAGGTTTTTCAGTATTGTTGTGTAGTGTCAATATTTCTATCGCATACAGTAGTCGGATCAAAAAATTGTTTGTTTTTCATTCAAGATTGTTACGGAAAACATAGGTGTGCATGTTGTTCGCAATTCTCTCTTGTCAATTTATCGTGCAGCTATTTTTCTAGCTTAACAAGAGATGTCGGTCTGTAGTACAAATTGAATTTTTTCTGTCCGATCCATAGTTAATTCGTCATATTATGTGTGAAACTTATACATACATAAAGATTATTTAAAAACCTACATACATTATTATGTATACAGACATTTTTTATTCAACGATGTATTGAGAAATCATAATCTATGTGCTCACTCTTACATATGTGTACGCAGAAAATTTGACACTTCAGTACAAAAATACATGAAATATTGCAATTATAGTAACTTAGTGCTAGTAACAATCATTTTCCTATGCTACTTTATATATTGTAAACTTATAAGAAATACAAATGATTTTTGTATACCTGTGTAATGTATAATTTAATGTATAATGTATAAGTACAGAGTAAATGAAGTGTAATTTTACTGTATAGATATAGTTTTAACTAAACCATTAGGTATACGTTATAACCGTTTTGATGAACAAGTTTTAAAGAAAGTAAAACAACCATTGGGAACAAATGTTAATTTTCACAATTTAGCTTCTTGAAGGAACAATTCCTATGAAACATTGCAATATTTTAAGTATTTTTGGCAATTTTAAAATAAAAGTTGCATTTCCAAATATTACAAAAATTGAGAATTCCCATTGTGTATTTATAATATGTATTTTCAATTTAGTCGTGGCAAGTTAAATTATGTTTAATGAGAAATTCTCCGTGATCCATGCAAAACCTATTAGGTATCCCTTTACGGATGAAAATTTGTTCATTGCTTAAATTATTTCTTATATGCAACGAGTTTATGTTCTTAAAATTTAAGTCCAGAAAAGCATGTACAAATTCATCATTTGTTTGCGACGATAGTATCTAATGGGTCTTAATCTTACGAGCAAAAAGTTTTGTGGCTTGAAATATTCAGTTCGATTAAAATGTCAATAATATTAATTACCGTCAATTCAATTGGAAATACGTACATAACATTTGTCCATATTTTCGTACAGAATTCCATGATCGAAATACAGTCTCTGATCCACCATGCCTCTTTTTTTTGTGTCCTTTGGATATAAAGAATCATTTTTCGCGTACTTGCTAACTAAATATCCCATAATTGAACGGCTGCGGACACATAATTATGCAAATAAATTACATCTTAATGGAATCAAAAAAGGTTATTACGTACCTTTCACATAAAATGAATCCATTGTCGTCTACTGTTGGTATAGTATGCTGTGGATTTATCTGAAAGATAATGCTTTAACTAAATACAAATAAAGTATATTAAAGTATATTATTTCCATTGGAGTTATTTAAGATATTATAAATATATTATTTTATAATATGTTATTTTCAATACGAAAGTAAGTTTTGCAACACAGCATGAAGGTATGTATATTATTTAAAATACTGTAGCAAATCTTCTCGCTAGCACATAGAAGAAACATAGTGACTGTAGTAAGAATCACCTGATCATTGTGTTCGTTAATAACGAATCGTTATTAAGGGGACACAAGGGAATTTTTCAGTTAAAATAAACGGTTTCTTTTAGATTGTATTAAAGAGTGACTAATTACTCAAACTATAAACTGTTTGGACTTTCTAACGCGTAACGCCTATTTTAAAAATAAAGCAGTTCTGAAATATTAGAAATTCACTGCAATAAAATCCATCAAAGTTTTATTTTGTAATAATTTACATATCAACAGCTTTGTGCTAAACAGATGACATATTTCTGTAGCAATAACTACAATAAATACTAGACAGTCCAAAAAACTCATTTCATTGCACTTTTTGACCCGGCATCTCCAGGAATCGGTACTATTTGAATAAAATAATAATATACAGGTAACTTCCGGATAATATTACACGTGTACACGGTTTGAGAATTAGAGAAATCCCCGAACAACACTTCACAACTGCAAGCACTACGTAACGAAATTTACAAAGATCTCCTAGCTAAAAGCAAGCAATCTAAAATAACAGATATTTTGCAAAAACTAGAGCATAGAACTCAAGATAATGCTGAAGAAAGTTCACAGGATGATGACATCTTGTCAAAAAAAAAACGCCTTCGGTTAGTGATACTTACAAGAAGAGTATCCCAGATGTCCGCCTCTGATTCTTTTGGTTTTTAGATATGTTTTACAGGACCGAAAAATAACACATAAGTATTTTTTTATATCGACCCGTCTTCATATTTAAGGGGTTGAACCAGCCCTCAAAGTTTCAACCCGGATGTACTATTTCGAAAATCAAAGGAGATACACGAAAACTTTCAATGGACGAGTTTTATGGTTTTTTACGTACAATAATACAATGCTAACAATTTGTCAAAAACACAATTTGTTTACAACACCAACATTTTTCATAACTTTATTTTACAACTTATTGAAATTTACATAATGACAAAAAGTGAGGAGCATTTCATTCCAAATTTACTGGGATATTTTTTTTTAAATTGCCTCGTACAGTCTCGCAGTTTTTTATTATTTATGTCCCGTGCGTACGCCTGCTGTTGCTCTCCGCTTATACTCAACATCAACATATTCGACACGCTGTGAACAAACCCCTGCATATGTTTCTTTAGACGAATTTTCATTTTCATCATCCTCATCAACAGCTTCAACTTCATACTCCTTAAATTGATCCAGAAAATCCAGTGATAACTCTTCTGAATCTTCGACTTCATTAAATTCAAATATGCTATCAAGCAACATTTTCTGTATAGATTCTTTCAATTGTATTTCTAGGAGTTTCCAATGTTAGAGTGTGTAGGAGTTTCAGTTGGAATTTTTAGGAATTTCCATCAAGTACATTGTTTGAAATATTACTATTAACAAATCCGATAAACATCACGTTCATTGGATTAATAATCATTTTCATTCACAAAAACTGTAGTTACAAGTCCAACAAGAGGTTTTTATTCGTAACGGAACAATAACAATAAGCGTCAGAGTGACTGAACCAGAATTAAAGTATTTCTGAAATAGCATACGGTCTCATATACTGTCGTCTGTGATGGAAAGGAAAAAGTAGGAATTCGGACTTTAGAGAAAATAAGAGCGACTAACTTATTTGGGAGAGAGCAGCACGGTGGCAGTTATTCATAAAGTGAATCAGAGTAAATACGAGTATATTAGAAAATAGGTTTAGAGAAACATTATACAACTGCTTTGAGTGTAGATAACCTGAATGTCCTCACACGAGTACAAAGGTCAATTTACGCTTTATTGGCAACATTTGAAATATTCTAAAATGTAAAATAAATTGCAACAAAAAAAACACAGAAAAGACATTTTTTGAGAAATCAAAATTGATCTTTAGAAGTTGACTATTATTATTAATATGTTTTCCGAAATCCAAAGCAACCGGAAGCTGAAATAGCAGGCGTACCCGTGGAATATAAATAATAAAAAACTGCGAGACTGTAGGAGGCAATTTAAAAAAAAATATACCAATAGATTTGGAATAAAATGCTCTAAATTGTAAAATAAAGTTGTAAAAAGTTAAACAAAATATGAAACTCGCTCACTAAATGTTTTCGTATATCTCCTCTGATTTGAGAGAGAGTACTTCTGGGTCGAAACGTTGAGGGGTGGTTTCACTCCCTAAAGATGAAAACGGACTGATATAAAAAAATTAGTATCTCTTATTTGTCAGTCCTCTAAAACATATCTGTAAACCAAAGCAATCGAGGGCGGTTACCTGGGATACTCTCCTTGTTAATAGTAATGACGACAACATTATTTAATACATATTATTATGTGATACTTTTCATGAAAATTGCTTTAATAAAGAATTTCTCTTAATTATATCATCAAAACATAATACTGTGTTTCTTTCATTTTTGAAACATAACCACATTTTTTGGACTATGTAGTTCTTAGTTTCGTATAACACGGATTCGCATAACACGGCAACTTTGAGGAACATAACAACAGTGTTATACGGAGGCTACCTGTAAATGTCTCTACTATACGAAAAATAGCGAAGTATACATTATTACGTGTTACCCGATAGGTAGCACGTACTGTATAAAGTTAAAAATTTTAACGGCGCCCATCATAGATAAGTACTCCTTGTCTAGAATAAATAATTCTTCAATTTATTAATCCTGCTTTTTCATTATTATTAAAGATAATGCAGCGCCCACGCAACAATACTATGTAATAAGAGGTATTGCAATAACCTACAAAATGAAAGGTATTAGTCGTTCTTTAAAAAATCTAACCTACCGAAAATGTTTAGTATATTATAATTTAAAATATAATGAAGAAAGTATACTTCACATATTCTTTGCATTAAATTCTGTTTAAATAAAATACCAAAATATTCTATGTTTATGGAATGGTTGTCGAAATAAAAATTTTACGTTAAACACTCTGTATAAACCCTGGCAGACCTTCAGAAATGCTGGTTTCATTTGTTCTCCCTTCAAAGGATTGATCGTCTTCAAGTTTAGGTGAACACCGATGGCTTTCGATAGCAAGATAACCGACCGACACGGTGGACTGGCCGGAAAGTAGTAAAAATCAATCGGCATCTTGCGGTTTTCCCTCGCCAGTTCCCCTTTTTCCGGAGGTTTTCCTCTTCTTTTCACTCCCCGTAACGTTACTGTACAAACGAGATTTTTATACAGCAGATCCAAAAGTAAAGGGAAACGTTCGAATCTTCTAGGCTTTGTATCCCCGTGTACCTTGTTCGCATACAAATGTATCTCACTGCTGTGTTTGCGATTCTATGGATTGGAAGATCATCAACTGGTTACCTCGGATTTTTATAGGAGTCTTCTTCTAGAAATATGGCGGATTGAGGTGTGTCGATCAACCATACGTACAAGCTCCTTGCATTCGAACAAGTGATGCTCACCTTATAATATTGGGTTGGTCAAAAAGTAATGTTGGACAAAACACTGATTCTAACTATGAAAAGTATATACATATTCTGAAAACTGACCGCCGCTACAGTGGTTCGAGTTCTAGATGCTAGGTGAACAAAACTATTTTTTCACGGTACTGCTGGAAAACAACCCTACTTCTTACTATAGTTTATTATCTGAAACTATCTGAAACTATTATCTGACTAATTAAATGAAAGAAAAAAACATAATTACAGTATTGCACTTTTGCTATAAAATAAAATGAAATAAAATAAAGTAAAAAGAAAAGTTCATAATAATAAATACTTAAAAAATAGACGGACAAATATAACTTAAAATAAAATAAACAAGAAAATAAACAATGATAAAAAATATATTTAATATGTAAAAGGAAAAAACAAAACAACAGTATTTCTCCTTAACTATGCACTATAACTATAATTATTTAAACTATTTTACATGCTTATCTTACTCATTACTCGAATAATCAATACACGATATTCAGTTCGTACTGGTTGCTCATCTTTATCAGCAGCGTGCTAGTAACTTATTATTTCAAACCATTATCTTCCGTATTTTTTTCGAATAACTTGATTAATTCATGACTTTATGAGCTCTGTGTTTTTTGTGAATTTCACGAAAACTATTTATCAATGTATCTGAAATGTATTGATATATGTATAACCAGATAATTTAACAAAATAAAACAACAACAACAACAATGAATATAAAAAAATAATAATAACCACAGTAGAAACAAAAAAATTGAAAATTATAAAAAGAAAGACACTATAAAGAGGCGTATACTGCACACTGGACGCTCAAGGACTGAAGAAACGAATAAGATTTGACGGCAGAAACTGTGAATATTATCATTGTTTATGATGGAAAATGGAAGAAAATGATCGAGAGGTGAGGAAAATGTGTTTTAGTCTAGGATGCCATAATATTGGTCCACAAATATCAGCGGCTGAATTAAATACATCGCTATATCACGGATGTGAGCCTTAAAAGTAATTTTAACGTGTAAGTATAGTTTTGTAAATCGAATTTGTCATTACAAGAAACTAGAAAATCTATACTTTTCGTATAGTCAACTCTTGTTGCGTGGAATGACGTGGAACACATAGTAAAGCATTGACAAATTTTACATAGAGCAAATTTCTAATAAGAATTACTTACTCGAGTCGAAGTCTAATTTACAAAAATACAAAAAAGTTATTTACAATTTAATGATATTAAAATTAAAATACATACTTTGAGATGCTATATCCATCATAAATTTGAAATTTAAGTGCACCTTAATAAGCTTGCAAAATATTTCTATCGATGCCTGAAACGTGATCGATTAACTACCGCTTTATTTCTTGCCTTTAAGTAGTGATGGGTAATCGAGCCGTTTGAGCCGAGCCGAGCCGGAGACGGAAAGCTCGAGCCGGGTCGAGCCGACTCGAAGCCGGCTGGAATTACCGTGCCAACCTAATCAACGCTGGCGGCGAGGCGGCGAGTTACCGTCAAAGGCAGGAACGCCGGGCGTCGGCAAGTCGAGATGTTATCTGATACCCTATAAGCCTCCGTCGCCTGACGCTCGAGTTACAATGTAACACACAGAACGAATCACCCATGAATAAAAATTTAAACATTTACTACTTTATAAAAAAGGGTATGAATTCATTGAGGAGATTTTTTTTCCTCATGAAAATAAATCTAAACATGACATAATTCCGACTGTTTTCAGTATTACTTATGTAGTTCGATTCGCAACAGTAAGAGAACAGGTGGGATAATTGATCACAGTTTTGCCTTTTCGTTGAAGTAAAAGTAATTGTTTATTTTACTTATATCTTATCATTTGTATAAAAATTCTTAGTACAGACTCCTCTCGATTATCGTCTAGCTTGTTCTACACGATTATTGTCCTGTCAAGTGCATACATTGTTGCCCCTCCGCTTTTGTTACCGAGGCTCGGGTTTCAGACAAAAAAAACGAATTTGCGAGGGTCTGAAGCATTTCTCCCTATAAGATTATTGTCCCGACGCGGACCCGAGTTCGGGACGATAATCGAGAGGAGTCTGTATTCTTGTAGTATTGTAATCTGCAAGCATTCGATAATGAAAAATGACTTTTAAGTATTGAACTAGGTGCCATTCGTGCATTGTTTTACTATGCTGATGTAGTATTAGATGTTTGAAACAACTGAGACTCGAGATCTGATGTGATGGTTCATTTATTCCTTGAAACTAAATTATTTTGTTGCTGGTGATAACTTGTGGAAAGTGGCTGCAAGCATCTTACATTTGATTGTATACGTAATTATTTATTTATGTAACTATGTAATGCAATTTTGTATTTTAACCACAGTTGAATAAAGTATTTGGAATTATTCATTAATAATGTTTTGAATAATGTTCAGTCTGTATACATAAAAGAAGAAGTTCCACTTACTTCTTTAATTATAATTTTGTTTAAAAAGAATTTTACCAAATCTCGATATCCACACGAACGGAACCGCGAGAAAAATGCTAGTAGATCAATAAGCGGCTTATCGCTTTCCAATTCATTCCTATCAAATGTTAGGAATTGGTGGAAAATTATTGAATTAAGTTTATGTCTTAATGTTAGATAGCACTATATATTATTTTATGCATTTTGCTGTACACTTATTATAACATCCTTACATCTTATTTGCAATACCGTTCATTTAAGAAATTGAATATGTGACACCAAATTAATAAAGAATAAAAACTAATAAAGAAAAATACAATAGAGTTAAATATCAAATTAGAGCTGCACCAAGCAACAGTGCTGTTGGTAGTGAAGTAAATACTTTACAATATAATAAATACCGTATTATAAAAATATTTCATATAAGATTATCTGCTCACTTACTAAAGAAAATACAAACATTCAAGGTATAAGTTACTTTTTCACGGAAGAAGCCCCGGTATTTGCAATGTATAAGATTTTTTCACAATTTTTGCGAGTCTCTGAACAGAGAAATGTAGCGAAAACAATTTTTATGCATACGTTATGTCGCGATACGAATTGTATGTTATTACATATAGTCTGATTTATATCGGGTTTAGACTTATTTTCATCAGGAGAATCTCCTACATTTATTCATAACATTTTTAGGAAAGTACACTGAAAGGAGTAAAAGTTTAAATTTTTATTCATGGGTGATTCGTTCTGAGTGTTATATTGTAAGTCGAGCGTCGGTCGCCGGTGGTTTATAGGGTATCAGATAACATCTCCACTCGCCGAGGCCTGTCATTTCGGCTCGCTCAAGTCGGCCGAGCCGAGCTGGGGAATCGTTGGCCTCGAGCCGACTCGAAGATCCATCACTACCTTTAAGTCGTGGTTTGCCTAGTCTGTACACATTAAAAAAAAAGATTTAAGCTTTTAATGTGTAAGAGGTTTAATATATGGTTATTATAGATTACATTGAAACAATTAGTTTTTGTTTAATTTGTGAAAATTAGGTTTGTCCGCCTAGCATATATTACTCCAACTACTGTGCGCGCCGTTTGAAGAAAAAACCATTGCGATTGCTTTGAATTTTCTTGAAGTGACCTTGTTTTGAAAATGAACAAAGAAAAGGTATACTTACGAGCAATTATGTTTCTTTTTTTCTGATTTGTTTACAGCACCGTTGCCATGTACATGGGAATCATTTTTTATTGTATGTTTCGCGTTTTTCATGTTTTGGAAATAAAATAGCGTACTTATTTGAAAGTGCGCCTTCTCGTCAGTAAATTTCAAAACAAGGTGAATTCAAGAAAATTTAAGTGAATCGCAATGATTTTTTTTTAAACAACGAGTTGAAGTGTCAGCTTTTATGATACGTATGGAGTTTATTAATTAAGAGCAGTACTTTGTATTAAAATAAAGAAAGCTTCATCTATTCCAGAAATCCAACATTACTTTTTCGCCCACCCAATCCATTGCTCTAATGAAATTTATTTGTATTTTTTGGTAAATAAATAAAAAGCATAGTATTTATCAAGATTCTAGCATCCAGAGATAATAATGCAACCCCTGGTTAAATGTATTAGATTGCTATAGAAATTCTTACCCTGCCTAATAGTAAGATACATTAGTTAATAATTACACTCTATGCAGAATACTTTCAATTCTGCATTACACTATTTTATGTTTTACAAACAATGTTTTAACAGTTTCTCAGGGTGTACGAAACATAGTTTCATCTTTTGTGAAACTGATGGAATTTATACATCAACTTTATATTTGACTGGTACAAATAAAACGTCTTTAAACAAGTTCTTTGTATCTTTGGTGTGACGTTGGCTTCAATAATAGTGAACGAAAATGAATAAAATAATTATGTAAATTTGTGTAAATTAATATGTAAAAAAGTAACACAGGTACACAGTGTGCAAAAAATCATTTCTGTACTTTACGAATCAGTAGGGACTTCTGGTTCCGGTGCGATAAGGTGTAGACAGGAGTTTATAGAGTGACGATAAAAGTGGTAAAGCGGGAGAAAAAGAGAGGAGAGAATAGTCAAAGGGAGTGAAAGAAGGAGTGAGGGACAAGGTTTAGTGAGCTTGACAGAAAAGGCCGGTAAAAAGGGAAAGGAACAGAGCAGGAGAGTGGATGACAAGGAGGGATACATAGGAGGTTAAGAGCGCACGAGGCGCGAAAGTAAGAGAAAAGAT